GCGGCACTGTTCGAAACAGAGGAACATTTTTTTGCTATTGCCGGACGGTGGCCGATGCATTTTTGCTCCATTTGTAGACTGGATATAGTTTCGTCGCCCAGCTTCTGAGTTGAATGCATGGCGTGATACTGTGAGCTGCGGGTTTCATTTGGAATGTATTTTCGACTGTGACCAACGTTTTGGTGTGAATTGTAGATTCAGAAAATGGCGCGATGCCTGTCGTGCAGTGTTGTGGTGCCCGTGTGTGATTAAAATTGATCGCGTGGGCAACTGCTGATCTGTTGGCGACTTCTGCTACCATCAATGATGAACTGCAATTCTAATACTGTAATAAACATTCTGTGTGTTTTTCGTTGGCACAGGGGCGGAGCAAAGATGGTTTTCTTGCTTTGAAGCTGAAACTAAGACTACCAGACTACCAGACTACCAGACTACCAGACTACACAATGGGGTCCCGGAAGCCACATGGGAAAAGAGTCTTTGATTTCCTCGCTGAGGGGCTAACCACAGACTGTAAATATATTCCTACCTATCTATTCACAGGGAGTCGGCGTGGTCTAGCGGCTACACGCTCAGCTGCGGATCGGAAAGTGTGGGTTCGGTTCCATTCAAGGGCCAGAGTTTTTTTCAAAAATGACCTTGGCTCCCAGGTCGACCCAGCCTTGAGTGGGTAACCAGGTACAGTCCTGGAAGGTAAAGGCGGCCGGTGTGATGGTGACCATATCACCAACCAAGTGCCGTTTGGTCTTTAAAAAATAGGTCTAGCCCTATATACCCAATAAGCCTAGAAGGCGTGGGAAAGGGTCCCTTAACTTGTACCTATTCACATTCAATAACGAACATTACAGCAATAATCTATTCATTAACTTACCCCTCCCCCTCACTCCATTCCCACCACCCCTCTTCTGCTCTTACAGCCACACCCTCATTCTTTTAGTCAAAAATGTCATAACACTATGTAGGTACTCCTGCTAAAACAATAAATGAAGAAGTGAAGGGAAAAGCGGGACGTGTTAACCGTTTGTCGATTGTCTCCCTTCCATCCCTCCACCATCTTCACTCCTAGCCCATTCTGTATTCGCGCAACATTATTCTGAAACCAATCCTCTGTACACATACAATGGGGAGAACTGCCTGAATGTTCAATACTTTTACTGAGTCAGGAGAAGAAGGGGGAAAAAAACAGAAATAGTTTGAAGTAATGTGTTTTCCTTCCATTTTGCCGCTAACTTCTGGTTGCGCTATGTTTTTGTTTACAATAGCAACTGTTTTTCCACTGCTGGGACTACAGTGAAACACCAACAATAGATTAAGTCACAAGCGCCTTTCTTAAGAAACAAATCTATGATCTAAGATGGCGTGACATGGAGAAATAAACGAATTCGCAGCCTGTTAAAGGATTATACGTGATAACACGGAGGGAGGATTAGTCTGTAAGCCCCGTGTAACATATAATAGAACAATTTAATGAATACTTTTATGATGACGATAACAGCGTACTGACCGTCTTCCTTAGACAAACAATAAAAAACCCGATGGACCAGTGAGCATGTTAAAGCCTTGAACAGTGAAATTCGTACTAAACAGTCACTTCCGGATAAAACCTATCTATTTTAAACTAACAAGATAATCATTAAAAGAAGAAGAAGAAGAAGAAGAAGAAGAAGAAGAAGAAGAAGAAGAAGAAGAAGAAGAAGAAGAAGAAGAAGAAGAAGAAGAAGAAGAAGATGAAGAAGAAGAAGAAGAAGAAGAAGAAAAAGAAGAAGAAGAAGAAGAAGAAGAAGGAAGAGGAGAAGAAGAAGAAGTAAAAATCTAAAAACTAAAACATCCTAGTTTCAATTCCCATGAACGGTTAAATTGTTGAAAATTAGGGATATATCACAACCCTCACAAGATAGGACAGGCTGTAGGAACGGCCGCAGCTTGAATGGAAGGGAAAGGAACTGTCGCCTTGAGGGCAATTTCGTGTTAAGTACCCAGTTTCAGCTAACCTCTTTGAACACTAAAATGATCATGTAGAAATGTATGGTGGCCTAAATGGACTTACTCCAGTGAGCCGCATTTCACCGGCTGAAGAGCACTGATCTTAAGCTAACGTTTTTAGCCAAACTGGACTGTAGGACACATCTGGCTTGTTCAGCCGTTACAGGTGCCCTAATTATATTCTTCGATCCTTTTGTCAGAAAACTTATATCAGGAGGCCGGTAGCCGTTATGAAAGCTATCGTGCAGTCCGTATCCTCTCGTGTACCATACAGTTTTGTCTTCGTTGTGGTTGGAACAGGCCAGATAACTTCTTTAGCGATTGAACGGGGTATCTAGAATCTGCCTTGTGATAAACCCGGTACTTTAATTCTAATTCACCAGCAAAAAAGGAAATCCGGGAGTTTCCGGAATAGTCTAAACACATCACATGACACCAAGGCTTTTTGTTTTGTTTTGTTTTTGCTGTTTATTTCGGATTTCTTTAAATAATGCATGTATCTCTATAACCCTAAACCTAACATAAAACCCTTACGCTAACCTTAAACAGTGCTAAATATATATATCCTAAATATAATTACAAGCTTTGTTCGTGGTGGATTAAAATTGAAGTACCACAAACCTGTAGGCAGCAAGCAGGGCGCGGAATGCACAAACTGGTCGATCGATCGGAACTTACCTCTGTGGTTAACTACAACACGGTTACCTTCTTCAGATAATTATGTATTCATTTGTCGTCCCAATGTGGAACGTAATTTGTCATTATTTTGAAGCAGCTCTCTGGCTTTTTCCCGGGAGCCTTAAAATAACCTAACATTTGAATGGGAATTTCGGGACCTCTCCACGGGTGTTCCTCATCCGCATGGTGGGACATTGTGTCATCGGGTGTTTATCGCTCTGTTTGATATCCTGGTGGGGTACAACTTACTTACTTACTCCAGATAACATGATTAGAACAGCCTAGATGGACAGGAACAAACAGTCTGCATGCAAATAACTCAGACCTATCAAATGGATGTACACGCAACACTCAATTTCTGGAACAGCACTAGATCCCAGAAGTGGACGAACAACCAGAACTTTTTCCGCCGGAGTTTACAGCCGGAAGAAGAAGAAGAATTGGAGCAGGTTAACCAGTTCAAATACCTTGGAGTTGTATTAGACCGAAATGGAGGCATTAAGACTGAGCTGGCTACACGAAAAGCAGCTGCTGGGAGACTCTTCCAGGCCATAAACCGAGGGTTTCTTAGCAAAAGAGAAATTGGCAAGAGGACGAAAATGGCTGTTTACCGCTCTACCTATGTACCAGTCCTGACCTATGGATGTGAGTCATGGGCAATGACAACAGCTCACAGAAGCCAGCTGCAGGCCTCGGAAATGAGATATCTGAGAAAGGTGGTCCAAGTGTCAAGAAGGGACAAAGTTCGCAATCAGACAATACGTCAAGATCTTGATACCCAGTCCTTACAAACCCGAGTGGATCAGTCACAGTTACGATGATTTGGACATGTATGCAGAATGGGAGAAAATCGGCCACCATGGCAGGCATGGGAGGCTAAGAACAAGGGAACCAGACCTCCAGGACGACCCAGGGTGCGCTGGGAAGACAACATCCGACAGTCCCTAACTGACAGAGGACTGGAATGGAACAGAGCCAGAAAGAAAACTGCTGATAGAGACGTTTGGCGATTTCTCTGACAAACCTCTACACCCCAAGGTAGAAGAGGAGCGACTAAGTAAAGTAAAAGTAAGTAAAGAAGAAGAAGAACAAGATAATAAGAACAGACTATTGTGTAGTGGTTGGCACTCGAAGAAGTAGAAACAAAAATAGAGATTAGATTTTTAAGCACTCAGAAAAATTGTGACATTAATTGTAACAACCAATGAGGAATTACCTCTTCTACGTTTTCGCCCCTCAAAAGGCTAACTGGTACGCTTTGTTGTAGTTTACAGCCAGTCGCATTTTACGACATTCTTGTTGAGAAGAAAGGTCAATTCACACTTATTTTTTTTTTTTTTTAATGAGGTCCGAAGCATACAGTCGATACTGAAGAAATGCAATTTTACAAAAGATTTGTTCACATTTTGCAATTTCGATGCACGTATACCCTAGGACAGCGTACTTTTTTTCGCTGCGGCACCTTTGTCAGGCAAACAAAAATATTGCGGCACACCTACCCTTTAAAAAAATACTTAGGAAAAGAGGGGGGAAAAACAGTGCAAATGTTCACTTGTCTTTAATGCGATGAATGAAACTGTTTGTATATTTTTTATTATTATTTCCTGTGTGTTTATGGACAATTTAGTTAATTCTACAGTCAAATACCCAGAAGGTTGCTCCTGTATCTGTTTTTTAATGCAAGCATACGTTGAGAATTGCCAGTTAGCAATGTTTTTTTGTTTTTTTAAACACCTGCTTCCAGAACTTCTCTTGGCTTCCTTCATGGTATTTCAGTTTTAACTGCTGTCTTCGCTGATCTCAAGCAGATTTTGAAAAAAATTCTTGATTTTTGCCGCAAACCCCTGGCATATGCTCTCGGCACCCCTGGGTGCCGCATCACCCAGTTTCAGAACCGCTGCCCAAGGAAGTGGTACATGTGTTACCTAATTAAATTTCACAAGATATTGTGGGGGGGGGGGGGCGATTACAACAGACTGCGTCCATTAAGGTTACCGTAGCAATGACTGACAATTGTATACCAACTGTTTACACCTACAAGGAAAAGATCAGCTAATAAAAAGAATAATAATCAAATTTCATTTAAAAACCGTAGTAGAAAAATCCAGCGTCTGATCTGCAACCTCTCTAATTAAGTTTGGGGTTTTTTTCAGCAGCTTTTTAAGGCTTCGTTACTGTAGCCTTAAAACAGCTCAGCGATATTTCAACCTCAGTTGTAAATGTACGATTATGATAATCCGCAGAATCCCTTTAACCTTTTAAGATTTACAAATGTGTTCACAGTTTGAGTTCAGAGATTTAACAATGAAAGTGGGACAAGGAACAAACAATCCACTTACCTAGCAAACGATACGTTTCCTGTGTGCTCAAATACAAATTAAGATATGCACCGGCCAAACATAAACAACCTTGAAATGCAACTAAAATCCGTAATATGTAAACAGAAGACATTTTCCGTGAGAATCGCAAACCGTTTCATCCGAGTTCAGAGCACATTCTGCTCTCCATACTGAAGAGAAAGCACAAATGCATAGAACAACACTACTACCCTACAGTGCTGGAAGCACGTCCCATTCGGGTCGACCAGCACCCGTCAGTTACACACAACGCCAGGCGCTCGCCTCTCGTGATTGGCGGGGAGAAGAGAGAGAAGCTACCGGAGCAGTCATTCATGAACTGACAACAATGGGACCTGGAAAATCGGGGGCTGTTTTCTTTCTTGACAGATTTTATGTTTATATGTGGAACTATGGGTTGTGTCTACACGTTTGGTTCTTCTTCTTCTTCTTCTTCTTCTTCTTCTTCTTCTTCTTCTTCTTCTTCTTCTTCTTCTTCTTCTTCTCTTCTTCTTCACCATCATCATCTCCTCATCCGCCTTTTCATATCTCCTTTTTTTTTAATTCTTCATTCTCTTCTTCTTTTGCTGCTACTGATACTTTTGCTGCTACTGCTCTGCTGGTGCTACTACTGCTGTTACTACTGCTACTACAACTACTACTGCTGCTACTACTACAACCACTACTGCTGTTACTTCTGTTGTTGTTGCTGCGTCTACTAATACTAGTGCTGGTGCTGATGCTGCTGCTTTCACTGCTAGTGCTAGCTCATCTTCTTCTCTTGTGTGAGTTAAATAAAAGCACGTCGGTCATGACTCTCCGGTCCTCTCTGTCATGAGATATTTTAACATAGTTGATATTGCTTGTATTCTGGGTTTGTTGTCCGCTTTCTTTTCAACTTACCACACACCTAAGACCAAACCTAAGACGGGTACCAAGTTTTGGCATCCCTTCATGCAATGCAATTTTTCGTTATTTTAAACCCAACTCTGGCTCTTGCCCGGGGCCGCAATATAGCCTGGCCATAAATATGGTCTAATGGCTGAACGCGGTTTCTGGTACCTCTCCACAGGTGATCCTCATCCACTTGGTGGCACTCTGTGTCATCAGGTGTTTATCGCTTGTGTGATGACCTGGTAGGGTAAAAGAAGATAGATAGAGTACCAAGTGAAGTCGTAGGAAGTAAAGGCGGCTGTTTTGTTGTTGACTACATCACCCATTCAATGTTGTGAAAAAATATAAAACCAAACGAAAAGTAGAACCAGTAAGCTTCACATTATTACAAACACAAACGAAAAGTGAACGTTGCGGCCAGAGAGCCTTCATCAGCACATAACATAAATATACAATACCACAAATAGAAACAAGAACACACAAAATCACTTAGCTGAAGTATTTCCGAGAGAAATCACATCCCAGACGGGAAAAGAAGTGGGCGGGGTCATTAAGTAAAGGCAATTGTATCTAGGTTTGGATGAAACAGCATACTGTCGCATTTCCAGGAAAGGGGTGAAACTGTGACTGGTGCTAATTACAGTGACGTGTTAGTGAACAGGCTGGAGCGCACGATCGGCCCTTGGTTTAAAAAATAAAACTTTACTTATTAACTGCGATTGCTTTTACTGGGTGACTTCCCCTGGTAATAATTGTTCTATACAAGTGTGAATCTAGTAGAATCATAGGCCAGCAATCTAATCCTAGGCTATTTCCACTGTCTCTGCCTCATATGCGACTAACAACGTAAATGCTAAACGATCTAACAAAAAATCTTCACTTAAGTATATTTTCAGGGAGCAGAAGACAACGGAAACCAGTAAAGGCCACCCGAAGCTCTGAAGCAGATAACTGAGGGCATTGCACCAAAGGGAGCCAGCACTCGGGGATTCCAGTCTCTCTAACGCCACCCTGCCCCCACACCACATGTATTTAAACAATGCTTTTCATTCTTATTTCAGACCAGGGGACCTCAACCCACCGGAAGCAAAGGCGTCAGGAACCCGTCTCTCTCAAGCTATCTGTCACTGTTATTCCTTCGACCTCACTATCAAATCACCTGGCACATTCGAGCAATCAGTTCTCTGTTTGCAATCTATCTAAACGCCACTACTTCTCCACCCTCTGTTGAAAAAATAGAGAAAAAAACGGGCTGATGACAACAACAGATTGTGACGGCACTGGTTGTCCTGAAAAGGAACATTGTTGGAGTCGGTGCTACGTGGTGTTTGTCTTTTTCCTGCGGCCTCACAGAGTGGTAACCCGGCTGGCAATAGGGCACCAGCACAGCAACCAGCACAGGTCAAAAGCAAGCACCAGCAACAGTCAGCAAAAACCCACTGAGATGGGAGAGAGAGCCAGACCAGACCAGACCAGGACCCAGAACCCCAAGGATTACACCGGACTTAGGAAGACAAGAAACAGAAATATCAGGTGTGACTTGACACCACAAAGAATAGGACATCAAATAAGATGGCCAAGGAACCTTTCTTCATATAGCTGGCCTCCGGGTGGCTGAAAAAGGATCAATTTTGAATTTTTTTTTTTCATCAGCTGGAATTGGAATAAGAATAATATGCTCACTATGGCACCATAGGTCCTTTAAACACATAAGATGTTTCTGAGCTGGTTCATCTGTTATGAGTTGAGTTATCTTCACGGCACTCCAGACACATTCATAGGTGCTCAGATTTCCCCTTTAACATGCTGGTTAACAAGACTTCTTGTTCGTCCAGTTTGCCTCTCATGCTTGGCTGTGCCGATCTGTACTCCCCATCATCGTATTCTCAGCAGTGACGTGGACACGCTGCACCCGAAATCCTCGGGTCGTCCTATCTCTCTAAGGGCATTACCAATGTCGGCACGATCCATAGGCTGGCTATCTGCAACAGAGACAGAAGCAGACAGTCTGTCAGCGCTTTCCTTGTATTAGAGTACCGCTTTCGTACAGACTAGCAAGTCTACACACAACTGCCAACAGACAGTCATGGTGGCCAAGTGGATATATGATGCCAGCCATTGGCAAAAATAGATCGTTGGCAAACATGCTGAGACTACGTACTACGAACAATGCCTAGCACTAACACAGCATTACGCTCAGCAGAGTGTACAGCAGAAAGTGACCTGAGCATCTCGCCCACACTCAGTACTCGAGGGAAAGGCAACACAGACATACACTGGAGACTACCACTGACACTATAAGAACTGGAAATGACCTGGCTGCTGAAGACGGAGCGCTTATGTGAATGTTTTCAGTACTGTAATCGTCTTCTTCTTCTTGTTCACCGGCTGTGAATTCCTGCAGTAAGTCGCGGTTGTTCGTCCAAAATGGACTTTTGGCTTTTACCTTGACCTGAGTTTTGCGTGTACATCCGTTTTACTAGCTTATTTGTTTGCAGTTCTCGTTCTCCGCCTCTCCGGCAGATGTACTCCGACTTCGGAGGAAGTACTGTAATGTCTGTTCTAAACTTGATAAGTTTACAATTTCTTCAATTGGTCTGTGTTATTTCGTTTCCTTTCGCGTCCTATATTTTAGTTAGTCAGCAGAAACGAAAAAACCGACATTGTTTTTCCTGTCCTAACGAACTAGGATTTGGCCAAAACATCGACAATCTCGCGGTTATATAGCTATTGAGGTGAGCAGTGCCTTTTAGTTTATTGATGTATGTGTTCAGTTATATCTTAGAATGAGGCGTACTCATCTTAATGTATGTACTTTTACAGGATTTATTGTAAGTGGTGTTGTGTTTATCCACTTAAATATGGTAGTGTACCTGACCTATTCTCGATTAGTTTGTAATTTTATAATTTATTGCTTGAGGTTTTGAGTTGTACAGTTGTCAGTTGTTACCGCTGCTGTTGCTGGGCCCAGAGATTAAGAATAAGATTAAGTCGGGGTCTGATATTTCTTACGAGGTTTGGAGACTTGCCAAATTATATTATCTTCATCAAAATATATACTCAAAGATTGTGTCACATAATATTAATAATACAATGCAGTTAGTGTAGCATTATTAATATTAATAAGGCATAAGCTAGCCTCCGAATAACGGCCATAAACAGGGCCTTAGTCACATGCAAATTGCGGACTAAACCGCCACCGCCCAGAGTATCTCCCACACCGCTATGCAGATCTGGGGCTAAACTAGGTGGCTGGGACTCACTAGCAAAGCTGCAGGAGATGCGGAAGCTGCTGCTCGTGACTGAGGCCCTGTGTTATGTTAGGGTGTTTTTGTGGCCACCATAATATGTAGCCGCTATTCGGAGGACAGCCTATTAATAGTATTAATATTAATAATGCTACACCACTGTATTGTATTATATGACACAATCTTTGAGTAGGTATTTTGATAAAGATAATATAATTTAGCAAGTCTTCAAGCCTTGTAAGAAATATCAGGCCACGACTTAACCTTAGTTAACTTATTCTAATAATAATTATTAAGGTTATTAGTAATATTTTAAATCTTTGGGCCCAGCAGCAACGGTAACAACTCAACTGTACAACAGGAATAAGAGAATTGTGAGCAGTTTAGTTAGGCCTGCTCTATGCAGTGGCAAGCATCGCTTCATAGGTCTGGGTGATTGGCGTTATTTTGATATTTTCTCTGGGTTATGGTTATGCAGGAGTGTTGGGAAATTAACAGACAGACTAGCTGGTTCTTCTGCACCACTGGGTTGGGAATGCATGCATGGTAAGCTAGATATCATGCTGTGGTCACAGCCCGTAGATATCATGCTGTGGTCACAGCCCGTAGATATCATGCTATGGTCACAGCCCGTTGATATGCTATGGTCACAGCCCGTAGATATCATGCTATGGTCACAGCCCGTTGATATCATGCTATGGTCACAGCCCGTTGATATCATGCTATGGTCACAGCCCGTAGATATGCTGTGGTCACAGCCCGTAGATATCATGCTGTGGTCACAGCCCGTAGATATCATGCTGTGGTCACAGCCCGTAGATATCATGCTGTGGTCACAGCCCGTAGATATCATGCTGTGGTCACAGCCCGTAGATATCATGCTGTGGTCACAGCCCGTAGATATCATGCTATGGTCACAGCCCGTTGGAAGCAGGCGAAACAATGATTACAATGCAGAGGCACAAATATATTGTTATGGTTTGGAGAGAATGGTACATCTAGGATTGACTGGGAGGCTATACTCCGAATAACAGTCCCAAATTATCGAGGCCGAAAATATTCCCTAACAGGGCCTCAGTCATATGTCAATTGCGGACTTCCGAGGACTATACCGCCATCGCCAAGAGTATTGGGGCTAAACTAGATGGCTGGTACTCACGAGCAAATAAAATGAAGGAAGCTGCAGGAGATGTGGTAGCTGCTGCTCGTGAGTCCCAGCCATCTAGTTTATCCCCAATTCACGCCGCACGTAGCGGTGTGGGAGATACTCTCGGCGGTGGTGGAAGTCGCAGGAAGTGCTCAATTTAAGTCGCCGGAAGTCCGCAATTAACATGTGACTGATGCCCTGTTAGGGCATATTTTCGTCCTCGATAATTTGGGATCATTATTCGGAGGAAAGCCGACTGGGAAAATCTGTTTGACACTCTACACTCAGTGAAATAGCAAGACGGGCATATAATCAGAACGCTACCGGCACCATCAGAATTGGAACTCTTCGCTGGCAGCTGATAGACAGAGCATTTAGGGGAGTGTCCCAACATCTACGATGTCAGATCTTAGCTTCCCACTCAACATTTGTGAATGTATAATAATGTTAACTCTTTCAGTAGCATGCAGGTGTTACTTTACCTGATTTCATTCAACGCAGTTGTTACTTTAGGTAATAAATGTTACTGTGGGACAAGAGTTAAACTTTAACCCTCCTCCGACCTGTTTTCTTACCATCAATGCCCCTACAGTCTAAACTAAATCCTGTCCAGTCTGTATGTACTGTGCTAGTTCACGACCTTCTTACTTCTTAGCTTCTTTTTCTTCCTCATCATGTTCACTGGCTATAAACTCTGGCAGAAAGAAGTTCTAGTTGTTTGTCTAATTCTGGACTTTGATCTTGATCCAAAACTTGAGTTTTATAGACACATAGTTCTACAGATCTGGCTTGTATGTATGCAGACTGTTGGTTCCTTTCTTCTCAGGCAGATGGCCCCTGATTTTGAAGAAAACACCCTTAATTGGTAGACTTTTGTGACATGCTTGTTGGGGAGAGTGAGCACCTCCCATACAGGGAACATCTTAACATGCAGCTTGCACCATAATACAATTAAACTATGTATAAATTCATCTTCTTCTCCTTTCATTTGCTTAAAATATATGGTCTATATCTGCAGTGTTTTCTCTAGTATGAATAGTAAATGTTATGGGGAGGGGGGGGGGGTGACTTAAAATTTGTGGGTACAGTTTGGAGGTTTCATTAACATTGTACTAAATGTTTTGTGAGCCACTCAGCACGTGAGTTGATTAACTTTTCTGTGCAGAGTAGCCGAGCTAGAAGTGGTGCAAGCTGAAAGAGACTGAGCTGGAAATTGTAAAACCAGGGGCTTTCATTTTCTGGCTGTACTCAACAGTTTTACAGTGCCTTTTTAGGCATCATGTTTTCAGTACTACTGTAATAGACAATACTGACCTTAGTTCCCAGGTCGACCCATCCTTAAATGGGTACCATGCAAAGTCTGGGCGGTAAAATGCAGCCTGCTTGATGCTGACCACATGATCCACCAATTGGTCTATAAAATATAGGGCTATATTTGCAATACGTCTGAAATCTTTACCTTTACTGTAATAGTCACTGTGCTGAGTAACTGCACCTTGTTTGTACATACCCTTTATGGTGGGTATCATTACCTTTTTCTCTTTTTTTTTTTTAAGAAAGAAATGCCATGGATAAAACCCAGTAAAGGTTGGTTAACCCATAGATAATTTTTCAGCAACTTATTTTAGTTTTCATTTTCGCCTGGACTCAGGATCGTACATCAGCTGCTGTTGCCAGATTGTGTGCTGTTGATGTAAGATGACCACTGCAGCACGGCCCACGTGGGACACTGCTAAAGGAGGGCGGGGGAAAGGAGAAGGTGACCTTAGTGCCCTCTCCAAGCAGTACTCAAGTCGAGATCTGCCATCACACACAAAATCCAAATACAGGTAATATTTGGTTTGTAACAAATTTTTTTCTGTAGCACTGCAGTCCTGGTTATGCTAAATGATGTCCCCTGACCCCAGGGACATTTCTGAGAAACAATTCTTTAAAAGAAAAAATGATGATGACAAAAATATTTATTTTTTAAATGTATTTATTTACATTTCATAATTTTCTAGAAATTTATAAAGGGAGATGTTGATAAACACAAAGTGAAGAATTAAATATAATACACTCACTAGGGCCTTAAAGACATCATGTATCTAGTGACCCATGCCTTGACCTGTGGCTGTTATCACTGAGGCTTACAGGAAAATTTGACATCAGCTTGGCTTTTAAATAGCTATTTCATTCTCAGGAAAATACCTATGAATGCTTTGGAAGGGGGGGGGTGGGGGGGTTTTGCTTGTATATTTATATCCTGACCTCCACAACTTTGTGCAGTAGTGAACTTAACCAGTAGCATTAACTATCCATCTTGTAATTTAGTCACAGTTGGACAAGTTGAATAAGTTACATTACAGGGTTTCAGACCCATCCAGAAATATTGGCTTTGCAGCTTTTTGAGGTGACAGTTAATCTCCTAGAGCTGCATGGGCCCTAAACATCTCATGCTACTCCCTTCTTCGTGATCAGTTGCATTTCACAACTATATCTTTGTATGGCTTGAGGTAGTCTTGCTGCTGTTGCCACACTTCTTAGTTAACTCTTTCAGCCACAGGCAAGATCTGATGTATTCATAAATCTAATCCTTGATTCCGTACCATAGCATAATGTGCTCTTTTTTGTTGTTATTGTTGTCAGAACACACTCAAGAAATCTGGCGTAGCCAAATCATCACTGCCACTGTGTATATTGCCACTTTGAAAATAATACATTCACAATTTTTTATCGTAGTTATATCTTCACTTTGGAATCTACTTTGAAACCTTCTGGTATTGAAAAAGTTATAATCTTAAGCGAAGACATTAACACCCGCCTACACATTCAAACACCCAGTAAACCAGAACCACATGCGCGCGCACACACACACACCTAGACTTACTGTTTTGATGTTGTTGTTATTATTATTATTCAGACAAGAAGGACAAGGCACACAGGATGAGCTGAGAAGCCGTGACTTTCGTCATGAGTTGGAGGAGAGGGAGAGATCAACAAGGGAGAAGCGAGATAGAGGACGAGGTGAGTATTCACAGTAACTACAGATAAGAGTCTAACAATGGAATGCTAGGAATGACAATTTACATTCATTCATTGTCTTGTTGTGCCATTATATGTCAAACAAGGCTCACAGTCTATTCCTCCATTCCGCGATCAGTTCAATATTCATGGGTTGAATCCAGTCCAGCAGCTTAGGCCTCTCTCATCAATGTTCACTTTAGGGTTTCTCTTAGATATCCTTGTTTTCTCAATCTCTCAGTTTCCCATTTGTCTGTTTGGTAATTCTCTTCTCAGAATATGTTCACTATATCACCATCTTCTCTGTCTGATAACGATGTCAGTGGTTGCCTGGACAATTTTTCCCCCCTTTAGGATTCTTGCCATTCATATGGGGTTTAAAAAAACGATTTCAAAATTAGTGCGCAAAGATTCTTTTAAAAATATAAAACTAGGAAATACCTCTGTTTCTTTTTATTTTGAGCACTGTATTAGGGTGTCTAGATAATGAGAACCCATGGGGGAAGCAGTACCACCCTAGGTCTTATCCCAGCCAGATACCACCCTAGGTCTTATCCCAGCCAGGTACCACCCTAGGTCTTATCCCAGCCAGGTACCACCCTAGGTCTTATCCCAGCCAGATACCACCCTAGGTCTTATCCCAGCCAGGTACCACCACCCTTTGCCTTATCCCAGCCAGGTACCACCACCCTTTGCCTTATCCCAGCCAGGTACCACCCTAGGTCTTATCCCAGCCAGATACCACTCTAGATCTTATCCCAGCCAGATACCACTCTAGATCTTATCCCAGCCAGATACCACCCTAGGTCTTATCCCAGCCAGATACCACCCTAGGTCTTATCCCAGCCAGATACCACTCTAGATCTTATCCCAGCCAGATACCACTCTAGGTCTTATCCCAGCCAGATACCAACCTAGGTCTTATCCCAGCCAGATACCACCCTAGGTCTTATCCCAGCCAGATACCACCCTAGGTCTTATCCCAGCCAGGTACCACCCTAGGTCTTATCCCAGCCAGGTACCACAACCTTTTGCCTTATCCCAGCCAGATACCACCCTAGGTCTTATCCCAGCCAGATACCACTCTAGATCTTATCCCAGCCAGATACCACTCTAAATCTTATCCCAGCCAGATACCATTCTAGATCTTATCCCAGCCAGATACCACTCTAGATCTTATCCCAGCCAGATACCACTCTAGATCTTATCCCAGCCAGATACCACTCTAGATCTTATCCCAGCCAGATACCACCCTAGGTCTTATCCCAGCCAGGTACCACCCTATGTCTTATCCCAGCCAGATACCACCACCCTTTGCCTTACCCCAGCCAGGTACCACTCTAGGTCTTATCCCAGCCAGATACCACCCTATGTCTTATCCCAGCCAGGTACCACCCTAGATCTTATCCCAGCCAGATACTACCCTAGGTCTTATCCCAGCCAGATACCACCCTAGGTCTTATCCCAGCCAGGTACCACCCTAGATCTTATCCCAGCCAGATACCACCCTAGGTCTTATCCCAGCCAGATACCACTCTAGGTCTTATCCCAGCCAGATACCACCCTAGATCTTATCCCAGCCAGATACCACTCTAGATCTTATCCCAGCCAGATACCACTCTAGATCTTATCCCAGCCAGATACCACCCTAGGTCTTATCCCAGCCAGATACCACTCTAGATCTTATCCCAGCCAGGTACCACCACCCTTTGCCTTATCCCAGCCAGGTACCACCCTAGGTCTTATCCCAGCCAGATACCACTCTAGATCTTATCCCAGCCAGATACCACTCTAGATCTTATCCCAGCCAGATACCACCCTAGGTCTTATCCCAGCCAGATACCACCCTAGGTCTTATCCCAGCCAGGTTAGGTACCACCCTAGGTCTTATCCCAGCCAGGTACCACCCTTTGTCTTATCCCAGCCAGGTACCACCCTATGTCTTATCCCAGCCAGATACCACCACCCTTTGCCTTACCCCAGCCAGGTACCACTCTAGGTCTTATCCCAGCCAGATACCACCCTATGTCTTATCCCAGCCAGTCAGTGAGTTTCATGCCATTGGCGCCCAAGACAGTGAGTGTTGAGGAAAGCAGGCCTATCAGGGGAAGTAACCCACCACAAAATGTGGTCCGGATAGAGAACATTCCCTGCTGAAATAAAACCAAATCACCTTGTGTGATGGACAGTGGATTCCACTGAAAGAAGCCACGAACAAGAACGAGATGCACACAGTTTCAAATCTTGAAGCGTTGTTGTTATGCAGAACACACCCCCCCCCCCCCCACCCACCCTTTCCAGAAGGATTATCGGATAAAGGTCACAGTTATAGCCAACAGCTTTTACAAGCTGGTTGAATGCTGTTATTTTTCCAGCAGAGCATGCTAAATCATGTCATGGTGTTTTCTTTATCTGATTGTCGGCAAAAGTGAAGTGAGAAGGGGAAGGAGACTTGCAGTACAGTCCACAGCAGGTTGAAGTCAAGAGATTGTCTTCATCGCACTGGCCTTTGATCCTATATGGTTTGGTCTGTCTTTGCAAATCGGCTAGCTGTCCGCTGAAAGTGTTGCACAAAGCACAAACTTCGTAGCTCCAGTGAGGGACTCTGTAAAAATTACACTCACTCACTGAATGGCACAGTCGTGATTTGAACCCATGACTTTTTGAATGAGGTGAAGGTTCTGTGAATGTAAAGGTTTATTTGTGAATGAGAAAGTATAAAATTAGTTAACAGTGAGACAGAACTTTGAGACTTGTGTGACTTTCTGTTGCAGACTCCGGCAGTGGCAAGAGGCCCCGTATTGAGCAGATTCCTGCATCAAATCTGGATGCTGATGATCCTGTAGACGATGATGTGAGTGTTCATGTATAAGAGTGAAAGTACAGTTCCTCTTTACATACCTTGGGTATATGGTGCTATGTTCATGTCTAAGAGTGAAAGTACAGTTCCTATTTACATACCTTGGGTATATGGTGCTTTGTTCATGTCTGAGAGTGAAAGTACAGTTCCTATTTACATACCTTGGGTATATGGTGCTTTGTTCAAGTCTGAGAGTGAAAGTACAGTTCCTCGTTACATACCTTGGGTATATGGTGCTTTGTTCATGTCTGAGAGTGAAAGTACAGTTCCTCGTTACATACCTTGGGTCTATGGTGCTTTGTTCATGTCTGAGAGTGAAAGTACAGTTCCTCTTTACATACCTTGGGTATATGGTGCTTTGTTCATGTCTGAGAGTGAAAGTACAGTTCCTCGTTACATACCTTGGGTATATGGTGCTTTGTTCATGTCTAAGAGTGAAAGTACAGTTCCTCTTTACATACCTTGGGTATATGGTGCTTTGTTCATGTCTGAGAGTGAAAGTACAGTTCCTATTTACATACCTTGGGTATATGGTGCTTTGTTCATGTCTGAGAGTGAAAGTACAGTTCCTCGTTACATACCTTGGGTATATGGTGCTATGTTCATGTCTGAGAGTGAAAGTACAGTTCCTCGTTACATACCTTGGGTATATGGTGCTATGTTCATGTCTGAGAGTGAAAGTACAGTTCCTCGTTACATACCTTGGGTATTTGGTGCTATGTTCATGTCTGAGAGTGAAAGTACAGTTCCTCTTTACATACCTTGGGTATATGGTGCTTTGTTCATGTCTGAGAGTGAAAGTACAGTTCCTATTTACATACCTTGGGTATATGGTGCTTTGTTCATGTCTGAGAGTGAAAGTACAGTTCCTCGTTACATACCTTGGGTATATGGTGCTTTGTTCATGTCTGAGAGTGAAAGTACAGTTCCTCGTTACATACCTTGGGTATATGGTGCTATGTTTATGTCTGAGAGTGAAAGTACAGTTCCTCTTTACATACCTTGCGTGTATGGTGCTATGTTCATGTTGTTGTGGAAGCATAGTGGCTAGATGCCGGGTCCAAAGTTCTCTGCTTCATATCTGCCTCAAGTTGGATTTTTGTTCTAGAAATGATTTTCATTCTCTGGTTGACGCAACCTAAAATGGGTACTAGATAAAGTCCTGGGAAATAAAGGCGGTCAGCAGGAGGCTGAACACACTAAACCGTTGGTTGTGCTGCAGGTTTCAGAGCAAAAGTAAGAATTGACCATTAGGATTGAAAATTTCTATGGATGTGTCAGAACCAATTTTTGTGTGCAACAAAACAAATGTTTTATAATTGAGTTAGCAGATGGACTTGCTAAAAATTTAACAAAGGAGAAACAGCACACCCATCCATTGTTGTTACCAGCAATCAGAACACTTATCAAGGGAAAATACAAGGAATTGTTTAGGGAACAAACTGACAGTAAACATCCACAAGACCCCATCAGCAAACTAAACAGAAAGCAACATACAACAATTTTCCGTCTACGAACAGGACACGGCAGGCTCAACTACCACGTGCATAAAATGAAGATTGTGCAGTCCCCACAGTGTGCCTGTCAAAAAGGACCACAAACACATGAGCACATGCTGCAGACCTGCCCACTTTACCTTTAACTTCGAAAAGACACCTGGCCTCAAGATCAAAGTGTGCAGGGCAAGCTATGTGGAACCATGAAGGACCTGCTACTGACATGTGAGTTCATAGAGGCAACCCACCTGATGGTTTGATTTGAGCATACAAAAACGAACGCAAAGAAGAAGAATGTTTACTTATTTTTGCTATGATTGATTAACATGTACTTATTTTTCCTTTGTCTTGTCCAGGAAGATGAAGAGAACTCTGACGACGAAGATGATACAGCTGAGTTATTGGCTGAATTACAAAGAATAAAAAAGGAAAGGATTGAAGAGAAGGCCAAGATGGTAATAAATTTGAGTTTCTTTTTTGTGTGAATTTCAGAAAGTCTTTTACTGTGTTTTAGTTAGTTGCAAATCCTTTACAGAACCAACCCCAGCATTTGTCGGCTGTTTGTGGTTTTTCTAGGCAAGTCTACGTCCAGTAGTTTGCCATTACTTTCTGGATGGTCGGCTTCTCGATACCACTGTGAAAACTAGTGCAAGGCCCGCAGCTGGGATCGAACCCGGCACCTCGGTAATACAAAGCGCGTTCTCAATGCCTAAGTCACAGACGCTGACTTTCACTGTGTTCTTATGTATAATGTATAGTTTTGACAGATTTTACACTTTGTGTATATGTAACACCCCTGGCAGATTTTTAGTCACTGTGTATAGTCTTGGCAGATTAACACACACACATATATAATACTGTTGGTAGAGTTTATAATTTGTATAGCTTTTGTAATGAGCAGCTCTCGTGTGGCAGACCCGGGTTCATCCCGCAGTGAGGTGATTGAGTTTTTCTGTCGGGAGCAGAATTAAACATCCTCGTCTTCACAGTTTGGGGCGACAGCCCTAAACCCTAATGCTGTCTGGTCAGTTGAATGTCTGACACATGTGTGACCACAGGAAATAAAGTACTTGACATGCAAACGTTGTTCTGGGAAGTAAATATGGCTGGCTAGATATTGAAATATTTGTCTTTGTTGCAGGATGCTGAGGATGATTGAACTGTAGCAACGAAAAAGGGTCGCCACATTAGGAAAGTTGAGAGTCACAGTGTTAGAGGAAGTGAACAAGCTCATAGGTTTTGCAAATAGGGCCACTCTGGCAAGAAAACAAACACTTGACTCCAGAAGGGTATACTGGAAGCCATATGAGAATTAAGACAATTACAGTTTTTGAGAGCATGGCTGCTCATGGCAATTCTTTTAACAAAAATGTGTCCCCTTCTAGGATTTTTTAATCATTATTGAAAGGTCCTTATTGCGGAACGTTGATGTAGTCGCAACATGCCTGCAAGTTTCTCTTTCTCTAGCCATTTCTCCAGCCCTATGTGCTTTCATAACCAATGCATTAGCAATATCTTTTATCCATCTCTGCGGAGGGTGAACCTCTGCCTTGTTGTCAGGAAACTCATGTGGCTCATGCAGTAAAGAGAGCTATGTACTGTCAACACCTGCTGATTGATAAGTGTGTCCTGTCTTCTCAACTTCTTTTAATGAGTGCCGATCAGTGTATATCAGTTTGTTTATCATACCAAAGAAAAAAGCAACTGCAGTCTTCACATTAGGTGTGGGTAAATTTTTTTTTCTTCTCCTCCTGCATATGCCCTTATAAGGACAGTTGGTACATTGTATTGTTATTTACAGCTAGGCTGCAACATCTGTGCCTTTTGGTCCAACATATCCATTTTCAGCACACACACACCTCATTAGTCACCTTTTAGGACATGCTTGTTAGGCTGCAGTGTCTTTTTTTTCGTTAACCGAGAACGGAGACCTAGAACCCACACATAGGGATGAGTCAATTAAATGCTTGACAGAAAAAGCAGGCACAATTTTTTTATATTGATAATTTTGTGTGACTTGTGAATGATGTCATAAATGTCCAGTTGACCCCTGACAGTTAGAAAGTTATGACATGGAGGTAGGTTTTTTTGTTACTGTTCTATCATGCTGTTAGTTGTGTTCTGGCTTTGCTGCAAATGGGTCACTCCATAATTGCTCCATTCCCGTGTCCATGAAAATCACATAATATGCCTTTCACTGCCCCAAATGAAAAGTCAAAGTTAGCAGTCCCAGCAAAATCCAACAGCTTGCGCATGCATTAAATGCATCAGGCGGCTAACAGAGGTGCCGACACCAACAGTCTGTCACTAGAATTGCTTTTCATAGTTGATAGAAGCAGCAGCAGTCATGACAAACCATTAGGTGTGCACACATCACGGCATAAGTTACTTTAAGTCATAATTCTTTGCTTCCATTCCAGGTCCTGTTAATACATATAGCACATGCACACAATTTTGCACATTTTCATAACTTGGCACTGCATTTCTCTTACAGGTGGGATGATGATGTTGTGTTTAAAAACTGCGCTAAAGGAGAAGAGTCTAGAGCGTCCCGAGGATTCATCAACGACACACTCCGGTCTGAGTTTCATAAAAAGTTCATGGAGAAATATGTGAAATAAGAACATTGCTTTTTATTGTGTCATTATGTATGTATTAGGTCCGTGGATTTTTGACATCGTCCGGGGCCGGGTAGTCTTTGGCGATTCACTGTTGTTGTTTTTTTTTAATCGTGATCTTTTTTTTTCAACTGTTGTTACAGGTAACTAGATTTATTCTGAGATTAATTATGGTGAAATGTTATTATGTGTCACAGTGTTTGTGGAAGTCAAGGGAAAACCAGGGAAAGATTCTGGAAGATATTCAACACTGAGGGGGAAACATGCGCATGTGTTTAATCAGCTTGCAACTGATACTGTTAGCATGTCGACTCTTGACTGGCTTCTACGGAAGGGGCGCAGCAAGTGTGAGAATGTCCTCAGTGCTGTGGTGTCAATTCTTGATTGATTTCAGATGGTAAACATATAAAGGCTCATCTTCTTTGGAATAAACAGGTGTGATGCCTCATTTTTTGTTGTTGCAATTTCACCACAGTACATTATCTCACATTCTGTCTCACCAATCTCAATTCTGTATCTCAGCCCACTACTTCAGTACAGTTCTGTATCACACCTCATTTTTCTTTCCTACCATGTTTCTTCACCTAACCTTCTTTTATATTCACTAGTAACAGGGTGGTTGTGTTGTGGTTTACAGCTAGGCTTTGATATTCTCATCTTTTAGTCCAACAAATGTGAATTCAACAACTTCTGTGTTGGCTCAGCAGCCCCATTTTGGGGGATAAGAAATATACCCACTGCCTCTCTAACATTTTAACAAGCAGGCTGTAACAACTGACTAATAAGGGCTGCCTTCTTTGAAGTGCATCTGTCTGAGAGGCAAGGAACCAGCAGTCTGCATACAGATATGCCAGATTTGTAAAACAGATGTAAAGGCAAAACTCAGAATCTGGATCAAGACCAAAGTCCAGAAGTGGATGAACAACCAGAGCTTTTCGCCAGAGTTGAAGTAAAAGATTGTCACAAAGAGGAGAGGGATGTCGAACCTGTGTTGGACTAAGAACATGGTAGAAAGACATCAGATAAACTATATCAAGTATCTATGGTGAAGTCGATCAGAAATGGCAGAATCAGAACGCTTAATCCTTACATCCTGGGAACAAACTAAAAACCCACCCTGTTAGAATTACAGAAAAATACTATTTTTTTTTTTAATGCTGCGCTGATCAATAATAAATTTGTTTAAAATGTACGTGTTTACTTTTTTTATTTTTTTTAAATAAAGATATGTCAAAGGAGTAATCATAAACATGGTTAAGCATTCAGTGGAAAACAACACCCTAGGGTCTAAAATAAGGCATATGTGTTGGATGACTCATATCTTACCCCCCCCCCCCCTCCTGACCTCAATCACTGAGTCTTATGGGAGAGTCTGACCTCAGCTTGGCTTAAAAAAGGTTATTTAGCTCAAAGGAAGAAACCACTTAATGCTATTGTTAATGTATTCATATCCTGACCTCTGAAACGTTTGCGGCGTGTAAACAGCCACTAGCATAAGTGTGCATCTCGTACACAGGTCACTATAGACAAATCAGAAAAGTGACATTTGTGGGAATTTGGACCCGCCAGAAGTGTAGGTTTTTTAACTTCCTGTGGCAAAGAGTTTATCTCTCTTGACAACCAGAGCAGTAAAAGAGGAAGTGAAGAGCACTCTAGTGTTTCATCACATCTCGGAGGGTTCATGTAATTAGCAGAACTTTAATGATTGTATAGTCTGCATCTGCCTTTGTTGGACACTTCCATCTGTTTTTTTTTGTAATACATGTAATATTAATAATTTGCTGAATTGTTTGTTTTGTATTTTGTTGTTCTGTGTGAGGTGTTTTTAATCAGGAAATAACAGTTACAGCTTTATAACAAAAGTGTCACCCTATAGTTGCTCTGCTCCTGTACCAACGTAAACACACAGAATGTTCATCACTGTCCCTTGTGTGGAGTCACAGACTGCAGCCTCACACATGCATTAAATGCATAAGGCAGCCATCAGAAGTGCTAACATGAACAATCCAACACTAGAAATGCAGTTCATGATACATGGAAGCAGCAATTACAAAAGGTCAGTAGTTGTAATTAATCATATAAGACACAACCAATTCTGCGGAAATGGGCCACTCGCCATTTTCTGAAACTGCAGGTAATAACAAACCAGTCAAAAAGCATTCAAAATTAAATCTGCAGCTCAGTGCAGCATTCTGGGTGACAAAACTATATCCTTTCAGTCTACATATGGAGGAAAATGCAACAGCTTCGCTAGCGAGCTGGGCCCTGGCAGAAATAAAAAACACGACATGAACTATGACAAGGAAGTCAAACTAAAGCGATGGTTTTCAAGTTATTTTGTGTAACACATCCCCCTCCTCCGCCCCAACCTTTTTTTAAATTTATGACAAGGACCCCTGCGCTTCCCCCCCCCTCCCCCCTTTTTTTTTCCCTTTTAACCTCCCCAAATTACATTTATAACGGTAGATGTAAAAACTTGCTCATGAAAACAAAATCGTCCTTTTTTTTTTTAATTTATAAATATTTTTTTTAAATGTTATTTATAATTAAACTGAATTTAAAAAGAATAAAAGGTGATTATAATACAAATGAACTCAATTTTCAAATTGCAGCCACGTGTACACAAAATTTAAGATTGGCGAATCAGCCATGTGCACATGCGGATTGGCACCTAAGACAACAGATCATGTCCTCCAAGATTGCCCCAAATACATTTTCTGGCAAAACATTTGGCCAAGAGAAACGCCGGTGCAGGCCAAACTTTACGGGTCGCAGAGTGAATTACAACATACAGTGAAGTTCATACTAGATACAACAATGCAGATATAGATAATCCATTTCGAGCGAACGAAACAAGATTCTCCAAATTGCTTGACGTTTCCCTCCCCACACCCCACTCTGGCCTTGAAGCCAAGTTGAAAACCACCGAACTAAAAAAAAAGATGCACACAGATTCAACCAAAATTTGACTGACTTGCTACCCCACCAGGACATCACACAAGCGACAAACACCCGATGACACAAAGTGCCACCATGTGGATGAGGATCACCCGTGGAGAGGTCCCAGAAACCGCGTTCAGACAATTGGCCATGTTTATGGCCTGCCTATATTGCGGCCCCTGGCAAAATCCAGGGTAGAGCTTCCAATAACAAAAAATTTCGTCCTGAAAAGGACGAAATTGGATAGTAACAGGTGGTAAAATTTCCTGGTACCCATTAATTACCCAAAATTTCCCTACCAGCATCTCTAAATCACCCGAGTACCATCTCAACAAGGAAGGTCATCTGCTAGAGGTATTTTCTTAACTCATAGGAAACAATTAGAGAGATAAAAGGACGTTCATAAAAGTCTAAAGCTAGGCTTTAAAGCTACTTGGAATCGAACCTGTCACCTCCAAAACACAAGGTGCCCTCTTCAGCGGCGTAGTTGCTCATGTCTCTTCACAGATCTTGCTAATATAAACCAATTCCACTGATGATATTGCAGCACGTCATAACCTTAGGCTGTCAGGGGTCGTCTCTCTTGCCTGCCTGTGATTCTTCCATCTTTGAGCTTTCCAAAATAACATTGGTCTCCAATGTAAGAAACAATGTATTGATTGGGTCTCATAGAAAGATAGAAGAACACACTAGACAACATACAAATCTAAAGCTATAGTTACAATGCCGGAAATCGAACCTGTCACCTCCAGATGGCGTTGCCAAAGCTAAAGAGTTCGGGCTACGGCCTTTTGAGGTCGATAGTCATTTTCGGAGAGAGGACGAGGCATGTGTTTAAGTCCCTTGCAATGATGACCATTCTCACCAGATGGCCGAGCCATTTCATTCTTTGTCCGTCAACATAACCAACGTTTGGTCTGGCTGCATTCTTATTAGATGGCCGAGCCATTTCATTCTTTGTTTGTCAGCATAATTCAGACATGGTCTTATTCCGACTTTCTCTCTAATGAATATCAGCATTAGAGACAAAGTCGGAATAAGACACTGTGAGGATTTTTTTTTGAATGACACGGTTTGGCTGTCTAGTGAGAAAGGAGCCAGACCAAACAGCATATGAGACTTTTTACAGCAGAACATCTGGGAGGAAGACCAAGAAAGAAATGTATAAATGGCGTAGATAAAACCTGAAAAAAAATGAACAAATCCATCACCCAAGAAGCGCAAAATAAATACAGAAAACCACGACACTGGGCTACAACCGGGCATCAGTGAGACGACAAAACCATGACACTGGGCTACAACCGGGCATCAGTGAGACGACAAAACCATGACAATGGGCTACAATCTGGTATCAGTGAGACGACAAAACCATGACACTGGGCTACAATCTGGTATCAGTGAGACGACAAAACCACGACACTGGGCTACAACCTGGTATCAGACGACAAAACAACAACACTTGGCTACAACCTGGTATCAGTGAGACGACAAAACCACGACACTGAGCTACAACCGGGCATCAGTGAGACGACAAAACCATGAACTTGGCTACAACCAGGTATCAGTGAGACGACAAAACCACGACACTGGGCTACAACCTGGTATCAGACGACAAAATAATAACACTGGGCTACAACCTGGTATCAGTGAGACGACAAAACCTCGACACTGGGCTACAACCTGGTATCAGACGACAAAACTACAACAGTAGGCTACAACCTGGTATCAGACGACAAAACTACACCACTCGGCTACAACCAGGTATCAGTGAGACGACAAAACCACGACACTGGGCTACAACCTGGTATCAGTGAGACGACAAAACCATGACACTGGGCTACAACCTGGTATCAGTGAGACGACAAAACCACGACACTGGGCTACAACCTGGTATCAGTGAGACGACAAAACCACGACACTGGGCTACAACCTGGTATCAGTGAGACGACAAAACCACGACACTGGGCTACAACCTGGTATCAGACGACAAAATAATAACACTGGGCTACAACCTGGTATCAGTGAGACGACAAAACCTCGACACTGGGCTACAACCTGGTATCAGACGACAAAACTACAACAGTAGGCTACAACCTGGTATCAGACGACAAAACTACACCACTCGGCTACAACCAGGTATCAGTGAGACGACAAAACCACGACACTGGGCTACAACCTGGTATCAGTGAGACGACAAACCATGACACTGGGCTACAACCTGGTATCAGACGACAAAACTACACCACTCGGCTACAACCAGGTATCAGTGAGACGACAAAACCACGACACTGGGCTACAACCTGGTATCAGTGAGACGACAAAACCACGACACTGGGCTACAACCTGGTATCAGTGAGACGACAAAACCACGACACTGGGCTACAACCTGGTATCAGTGAGACGACAAAACCATGACACTGGGCTACAACCTGGTATCAGCGATACGACAAAACCATGACACTTGGCTACAACCTGGTATCAGCGATACGACAAAAGAAGAAGAAGAATGAAGTCGATCCTCAACAACATACACCTACTCACCCTTGAGTAGAGGTTACTACTCATGACCGTTGTGTCTTTTTCAAATATAATGGTGCTATACGGTTAAACCGCTTCGTAATATCGGGGTGCCGGTTTCGATCCCTGCTGCGGACGGTTCGTCTTGCGATGGTTTTGACCGTGGTACCGAGATCCGACCGTTCAAGGCAATGGCAAACTACTGGAGGTAAATTTGCTTAGAAAGACCACAACAGCCAGAAATTACTGGGGTTGGTTCTACGACGTCCTGTTAAGGATACGCAACTAATTAAATATGGGTAAACGTGGTTCCTATGATGTGTAGATATTTGATTCTTATCCTTAAGATGTTAATCCAACAGAATGCAAATCTGGAGAGAAAGTAGATCTTTCTGACACCCGACCTTGACCAGAAGTGGATGATGATGATGATTGTTGAGTAAAGCAGAAGCAGATTCACAACGAAGGGAGCTAACCTACACCGGAGCTCTCCTGTGTCGCCATTGAGCAACTCACGTCCTGGTCAGGTTCGGGACGATGGAGAAAACTATCGAGGAAAACATCCACCCTGATGACTTAAAGGTATGATTGTCTGTGGAGAAAAAACGTATAGCTATGTTGAAGTGTCAAATATGTGTCATCTCCTCTACAATAAAGGGTGACCGTAGGAGATCACCTTCTTTCTAGTGTAGTCAACTACGGCTACTCCCTGTTTGTTGTTGTACTTTGCTCTGAGTCCACCACTCGGTGAGTGTGAATGACGGACTTCTAAAATGCTTTGCTCTACATATAATAATCATAATAAGTAACATTATGTGACTGTGTTTTTATGGTTCATCATCGTCATGTAGCAGGTCCCTTCATTTGTTGAACGTCGCTCTCATCACGGTCTGCCTGAAATAAATAAACTCGGTGGCTATCTTCCGAATAACATAACGGTCCCTCTAATTATCGAGCCCGAAAATATTAATACCCTAACTGGGCCTGTCAGATGTAAATTGCGAGATTCCGGCGACTACCGCCATCGCCGAGAGTATCTCCCACGCTGCTTCTCACAGCGTAGATTGGGGCTAAACTAAATAGCTAGAACTCACGAGCAGCAGCTAAGGCATCTCCTGCAGCTTCCTTAATTTTATTTGCTGGTGAGTCCTAGCCATCTAGTTTAGGCCCAATCCACACCACGCGTAGCGGCTTGGGAAATACTCTCTGCGGTGGCAGAAGTCCGCAATTTACGTGTGACTGAGGCCCTGTTAGGGTATATTTTCGGCCTCAAAAATTTGGGACTGTTATTCCGAACATAGCCAACTCAGTCTCATGTACTCAAGGAGTATATCCTGTGCCCATCTTCGTGTCAGTCGGCCCCTGCCTTTTCTTCCTGGTACTATGCCTTCTGCTATTATTTTTTCCAATCCGTCATGGCGCTTGATATGACCAAAATATTTCAGCTTCCGAGACAGGATGCAGTTTATTATCCAATCTTCCTCGATGTTCAGATCTTTCAAGATGTCAGTATTTCTCCTCTTCTTTGTCCAAGATGTTCTGAGATTCTTTCTGTAGCATTTCAGCTGAAAAGCCCCTATTTTCTTTCTTAAGGACTGGGAGATAGGTGGATACAGAACATAAAAGATACATTGGCAATGAAAGCACACAGGGCTGGAGAATTGGCTAGAGATAGACTTTCAGGTGTGCCGCGACGAGAGCAGCGTTCTCTAAAGTGCTCTCTCATTGACTGATATTTCGACTATATATTTAGGTTTTTATTTCAAAAGCCTGCCAGTTATTTTGTAATGTGCTGTAATTCTTCAGAAATTTGAAGCGCTGTACAATGAACAGATAAGACGAGGACATGTTAGTGAAAAGACGCAGTTTGAGTACGCCTGGTGTCTCATCAGGAGCCGGTATGTGGCAGACATGCACAAAGGCATTGTATTGTTGGAAGGTGAGTGTTCTTGAAGCCCCGGCAGTTCTGACTGATTGATTGACTGATTGATTAGTAGATTAATTGACTGATTGATTGCCTAATTGATTGAGTGATTAGTAGATTGACTGATTGATTTGTGTACTGATTGATTAGTATATTCATGACAGTTGACTGATCAGTAGATTGATTGGCTGATTAGTTAGTAGATTGATTGATTAATTAGTAGATTGATTGACTGATTGATTAGTAGATTGATTGACTGATTGATTAGTAGATGGATTGACTGATTGATTTGTATATTTATTGACAGTTGATTGATTAGTAGATTGGTTGACTGATTGATTAGTGGATTGAGTGACTGATTGATTAGTAGATTGATTCACTCACTGTTTAGGAGATTGATTAGTATATTGATTGACCAGTTGACTGATTGTTTATTAGACTCATTGATTCATAGGCTTATTGATTAGTATATCGATTAACTGACTGATTGATTGACTGATTAAAGATTTATTCACTATTTAGTAAATTTTTGACTAATTGATTAGAAGACTGATTGATTAGTGGACTGATTGACTGATAGATTGACTGATTGATTAATAGATTGATAGGCTTCATAATAAACAGCAAAGAAGACTGTTTAACAGAAGTCAAAAGCAGAATTACCATAGCAGAGCAAAGATTAAGCAGCATTACAAATCTGTGATTAAACACCAGCAAGGAAATCAAAGTCCAAATTCTGAGAGCCTGCATCTTTACCTGTAACAACATACAGATATAGTCATAGAATATCTCGTAGTCTTTTCCTGTTTTGTTTTCTTTTGAAGAAAATAGGAGCTTTTGAGGTGAAAATGCTGTAGAAAGACTCTCAGAATACCACAGGGAAAGAAGAGAATAAAACACTGACATCCTAAAAGATCTCAACATCAAGGAAGATTGGCTGGTAAACAGCATCCTGTCTTGGAAACTGACATATTTTGGCCAAATCAAGCGCCACGTGGGATAGATAAAAGAATAATAGCAGGAAAGAAGGGCAGGGGCTGACCAGCAAGAAGATGGGCACAGGATATAAGTAACTACTGAGGTAGGAAAGTGCACGAGGTGGCAGATCTGGGAAGAGACCAGAGTTTCTTTCAGGCTGACAGTGATAAACAAAACCTGCGCAATACCTACTACCTGATGATGATGATTATTTGTGTGCATATTATTTAAAGGGACCTGTCGCGGTCTGGTGGCTAGACGCTCACCTGGGTCGTGACCTTGGCTCCCCAGTCGACCCAGCCTCGAGTGGGTACCAGGTACAATCCTGGGAAGTAAAGGTGGCTGGCGTGATGCCGACCACATCATCCACCAAGTGCCATTTGGTCTATAACATATAAGTCTAACCCTATATACCCATTACGCCTGAAAGGCGGGGAAACGGGTCCTTTCTTTATTTAAATATATTTTTTAACTTTTTACATTATTTGACTGTGTATTTCTTGTTTGATTTATGCAGATTTGCTGCATAATGATCAAGAAACCCTGAGTAAGAGGGATTACTTGTACTACACCGCAGTCGGCTTTGTTAGAATAAAAGTGAGTGCACGGAGCATTGACAAATGACTTGTCACATGGAGGGTTATTGGTGATTTTTGGGTGTTTCCTTTTGTCTTAAGACTCTTACACACGCACACATTTTCTCTTCTTCCTGTCTCTCTATCTTTGTGTATATATATCTCTGTTTCTTTGTCTGCCAGTCTCCCATTCTTTCTTTCTCTGTATCAGTTTCTTAGTCTCTCTTGCTGTATGACTTAGTGTCTCTTTCAGTCTCACTTTCTGTCTGTCTTCCTTTCTCTCTGTATTTGTGTAGTTTCGTCGCCCAGCTTCTGAGTTGAGTGCATGGCGTGACACTGTGAGCTGCGTTTGTTTTTCGTTGGCACAGGAGCGGAGCATATGTGGGGTGACCCGTTTGCTATGAAGCTGAAACTAGGATTACCAGATTACCAGATTTGTGTATATGTCTCTCTTTCTTTGTCTGTCTGTCAGTCTCCCATTCTTTCCTTCTCTGTAACCCTTTCTCTGTCTCACTTGCTGTATGACTTAGTGTCTTTTTTCAGTCTCATTTTCAGTCTGTCTTCCTTTCTTTGTATCCCTCCCTGTCCCTTTCTCCCTCTTTCTTTCTCTATCTCCTTGATAGAAAATTTTCCTTTACAATATTTCTGTAGTCAACCCGTCCACACTGGACTACATGTTACTTTGTAACCGTTTTGTGGTTAACAGTAAAAAATCATGCTGTATGGTTATAGGGTTAAACGGAGTTTCCTCCCTGAGTGGGTTCCGGGGCCCTATTATAGGGAAAACAAGAACAGACCCACTTCCAAAAGCATGCCGTCGAAGTCGAGTAATTGTGAGCTTCCTTCGAAGTGGAAGTGCATCTGCCTGAGAGGTAAGAAACCAACAGTCTGTACACAAGTGAGTCAGATCTGTCAAATGGATGCACTCAGGTTCTGGAACAGGACTGCAGTCCAGAAGTGGACGAACAACCAGAACTTTCCGCCACAGTTTACAGCTGGTGAATGCAAAGAAGAAGAAGAAGGAGAATGGGGTTTCCTAAATTTGCAGATATAAATCTGGTGGAGGCATAAGTTCTAAAAAAAAAATCTGTTGTGTTTTCTGATTCCTGTACTTTCCTGGACATTCCCACATGTGCTCCGTCCCCTGCTTCAGTAATCTGATAAAAGTCTGCCTCTGTTTCCCCTTGAGTGTTAAATATCTTCTAGAACCCCTACTCACTCTCCGTTAAATTAGTCTTTCAGTGTATGGATTCCCTATCTTATTATTTTTTACTATCTATTTGATCCCTTAGAGCCTTCACAACATCTATTTAATCATATAATAGCTCACCGCCTAGACTAACGGCAGCAGTCAATCTATCAGCATGCTCCTTACCTCGCACACCTGAATCTTCTGGGCAGAAAATCCATGATATTCTCTTGGGCTGGGTCTTATCAAATGATGCAACGTCATACTGCATGCAAGACACCGTTTGAATTTTCCGAAACATTTGCTGTGAGTCTGTTACAGAATGTCAGACTGTGCTACTCTCAAGCTGCTGTGACTGCCTCCACCTCCATTCTCATACTGGATATAGTGACGTTGTACGCAAAGCTTCCTGTTTATAAGCCGTATCGGTTCACTTTTGCAATAAAACCCCACCCACTCTTCTTACCTCTCACCACAGACTCATCTGTATATATATTATGATGTCACCTGGGCGTGATTTTTGATTGATCAGTTCTTGCACCGCTGACTCTGTTTCACCCGCTATCTATTCCTGTCACCCCCGATCCAAGGTAACTAGCACTCTGTGCAGGTCTGTTCTGCTGGGCGGCACTATAACCTATTCTTGTCACTTTTCAGAATCCACACTTGACTTTAATCACAGGGTTACAAGAGTTTTTGAGAAGAGTGCAGACAATATCATGGAATGTAGCCATACGAGTATAGCACCAGTTACCGACCTGCCCAAGGGGTGAAGAGCTTAGATTGTTTTTTCCATATGTCCTCTCTCCGTTTGTACTGTTCTTCTGATGATTATGTCTGCTTTGAATGTAGTTTTCTGCCTGATTCTGCAGGAGTATGAGAAAGCCCTGAAATGTACAAATGCAGTCCTGAAAATTGAACCAACAAACAGGCAAGCTCAAGAGCTGGAGAAATACATCAAAAACAAAATGAAGAAAGGTTTGTACATTTGTTGAATGTCTTCTTCTTCTTCACGTTCACTGGCTGTAAACTCCGGCTGAATATTCTGGTTGTTTATCCACATCTGGACTTTGGTCTTGTTCCAACACCCTAGTGTTGTGTGCACATCTGTTTAACAGATCTGACTTGATTGTATGCAGATTGCTAGTTTCTTGCCTCTCAGGCAGTTACACTCCTACTTACGAAGGAAGTTCCCTGTTAGTTGACTCTTGTGATATGCTTGTTGAGGAGGCAGAGGGTCTATTCTTGTTCTCCCCACAAATTTGTTTGAATGTAACATCACTGTTTGAATGTAACATCACTGTTTGAATGTAACATTACTGTTTGAATGTAACATCACTGTTTGAATGTAACATCACTGTTTGAATGTAACATCACTGTTTGAATGTAACATCACTGTTTGAATGTAACATCACTGTTTGAATGTAACATCACTGTTTGAATGTAACATCACTGTTTGAATTGGAATAGAACTAGAGTAGGGTTTTTTCCCGGGCGATATGCTACAGTACACGGAACTGGCACTTTATGGTGAGCACTGGCACCTTTCTTTCCTATAAAAACTGTCCTGCATTGAACACGTATGAATTATGTACAAAATGAGCAAATAAAATGGTTATCCCACAGTTTATGTACACCACAAGAGGAGAAGGACATAAGAGTCTGAAGTAGACCAAGAGGAAGGTGGAAAGATAACATCAGAGAAACTCTGAACACAGTACGATGTGGCTAGTCGAGGTGGTCAGAAGAGATCAGACCAGAAATGAGGTCATAAGATAAAACATTGAAATAGAACTAATACTGATATACATATAAAGACAGCAAATAAAATGGTTGTTCACTTAAGGCAATGCCTTGTGATGCCATACCATGCACTGTGTACCAAAGAAGAAGAGGGATGCATAACCTGAGGTGGACCACGAACAAAGTGGAAAGATAACATCAGAGAAACTCTACAATGACTGTGACCAAGGGAGGGAGAATCAGAACCTTTCATCCCATTCAGCAGCTGAGGTAGTAAAAGAGGAAGTCATCTTCTTCTTCGCGATCACCAGCTGTACACTCTGGCGGAAAGTTCTGGTTGCTCCTCCACTACTGAACTGCAGTCCTGCTCCAGAACCTGAGTGTTGCGTGTGCATCAGTTTTACAGATCTCATTCTCTTGAATACAGTCTGTTGGTTTCTTGCCTCTCCAGCAGATGCACTCCGACTTCAAATGAAGCTCCCCAATTAGTCGACTCTTACGACATGCTTTTGGGGAGGCAGTGGGTCTATTCTTGTTTTCCCCCACAATGGGGCCCCGGAACCCACACGGGGGAAAAGAGGAAGTGAAGCAGATCATCTCTGGTCAAATTCAGAAACATATTGTCTAATTTTCAATCTGTATTAAATAAAGTTCAGAATGGACACATGTGGCATGTGGGTGCCAAGCGTTAATCCTTTTGCCTAGAGACGCAGCAAACTGACACTTATGGTTTGTGCCACGCCCCCATAAATGTTGATTTACCGACACCGCTATAGTGGCTTATTCACTGGAAATCTACCTCACAGTGTTGGTGTTGTTTGCACCTGCGCAAACGTTCAGGATCACCGGGAATGATTATATTTGCTAAAAATAGCATTTAGATGGGGTTTTCTTGTGACCTAAAATGGCTCTTTAATAGAAATGATGACATCGGAATTTCCCACTAATCACAGTGGTAACCTGGCAACCAGTTCATAGGGTCAGGAAAGAGTCACAGTATAAATTGATCAGACTCAAAGAGATATAACCGTTTTCAGTACTCTTTGGCCACACAAAAAAAATACTCAAAATTTTAAAACTATAAATGGTGGTCCAAAGGACGTTGTGTGGAAAATGCTACTCTTCTACGAGATACGCCTGGCCAAATCAGAGGGAGATGACACCAAGAGGAGACACCAGATAAGAAGAGGAAAGAATCGAACGGCTTACAACAGGGTGCAGGACGAGTGGTCGGAACCGGATGGAAGCATGAAAAAGTGACACAAATAAACCAGACCACAAATATAGGCGGAGACTGTTAGCAGCCTCGGCTAGCTAGCAGCAGTCTGAAAGTGGTCGACCTTTTCATTTTTTTCCCAAAAGGACTTGGACTTGGAGATATCACCCAGTTCATTTTCTGCTGTATTCATCTTTAGTGATAACTCCAATTTTTTAAGGAAGTTTATTTTGCTTTGATCCATACATAGAATTGTTAGCTTGTTTCTGTCTGCTGTGTGAAATAGTTGGTTTTGTTTTTGGTAGTTTAAAAAAATGATTCCTCCCTTTCCCTCCACCCAGAAATTCCCAAAATATGAGTTGTTGACTGTGTTTTTGTTTCTATTTCACAAAGAGCGAAGGTTAAAACATCTTTGTTATAGGGAAGTAAAAGTAAAGGACCTTTTTCCACGCCATCAGGCATATAGGGCACATTGGGCTAGACCTATATTTTTTATAGACCAATCGGCACAAGATGGGTGATGTGGTCAGCATCACGCCGGTCACCTTTATTTTCCCGGGACTGCACCCGGTACCCACTCAAGGCTGGGTCGACCCGGGAGCCAAGGTCATTTTTGAAAAAAGTCAGGCTCCGCCAGGGAGCAAACCCACAACCTTCCGATCCGCGACGAGCGTCTAGCCACTGGGCCACGGTGATTCTCTCTTTGTAATAGGGCTCACATGAATACTTAGTGCTGGTCATGCAGGGGTTAGTTAGGTTACTTTTAGAGTACGTTGCCTACCAGTTTCATCATTTGTTGTGGTTTTTCTAGGCTGTTTTATGATCAGTAGTTTGCCATTGCTTTCTGAAGGTACAACATATCAAGGGTGATTTTTAAAATGAATCTAGGCCTCCCAGCCTCAAATGGGTAGCAGTTAATGTTCTGGGAAGTAAAGGCGGGTGGCGTGATGTTGACCGCATCACACACCGAGTGCCGTTTGGTCTATAAAAACATCAAAGTTAGCATCATATGCTTCTTCTCCATTGGCGTTAAGAATAGGGTCCCTTTTTTCACAAATTGACTGTGTTAAATAAAACACTTGCATCGCCATTGTCAGTTATCTGTCATGCTGTTTCCGATGATACAGACGGCCTGATTGGCATGGCGATTGTCGGAGGAGGTGCTCTGGTGGTTGGAGGACTCGTAGGATCTGCCCTGGTGATTGGAGGAATCATTGGGGCCACCATTGCTGTTCTCAAGAAAGGGCCAAACCGCTAAAGAGGATTGTAGCTGGCCAGTTGTACATTATTCTTCTGCCGCTTTTCTCTTCAGTGAAATGTTCAGAACAAAGGTTGCCTCCTGTTGAGCTGATATTCCCCCATCGCTGTGTAGGCCACATCATGTCTTTCATCATTGTATGCAACTAACTTCATGTCGTTCTCATCATTTCTTTTCTCTATCTTTTTTTCCCTTTCTATTTACTTTTTTATATTTGACCTTATTGATTCAAGTGCAAGGACTCCTAGTTATATTGTGATTTGCTTTTCTCAGAGTGTGTCCTATCCAGTGACAGCCTCTTTTTCTCCCTTCTTATTCATTCAATACAGTTTGTTTACTTCTATCCCAAAGCTTCACGTTAGGGATTCTGTCATATAAATTCTTCTTAGTGTTTGCCGGATGAACTCGGGCTGAAATTCCCCGTATTTCATCCATTTCTGGACTTTAGCCTTGTTTCAGGGCTTGAATGTTGCATTTGACAGATCTGGACTATTTGTATGCAGACTGTTGGTTCCTCACCTGTCAAACAGCTATACAACTTTGAAGGAAACACGTCTGATTACTTGCCTTGTATTACCTGCTTGTTAGTGGGGCCCTGGGCATGACCCCTTGTCCCCGATGGGGTCCCAGAACTCACACAGGAAGTCATATCATTTCATATCTTGTATTCTGTACAAGCAAAAATTAATGAAGCCAAAATAAGTAAACTTTATGTTTAAAAAAAGACTCAGTCAGAAAAATAAGTTATCACAGAAAGAGGCAGTCACCATTTTTTAGGCACATGAGAAAAGAAAAGCTGGAGTATCTGCTAGCTGGAGAGATTTATGTAAAGAGAAATAGCGGAAGACATTGAGAGATGATTCTTGTCAATCTTTTGTCATGGCCTGGAAGGGTGTGCAGCACCTCAGCTGATACATGCTGCTGCTGCTGCTGCATCACAGCATGAGACAAAGCATAATCACCAGTCTCAGTCAGCAGGGCACTTGATGATGATGATAATCTTCTTCTTTCTTCTTGGTATTACTGGCTGTTAACTCCTGCAGAAAGTTTTGGTGTTTCATCCACTTCTTGGCATTACTGACTGTTAACTCCTGCAGAAAGTTCTGGTGTTTCATCCTCTTCTTGGCATTACTGACTGTTAACTCCTGCAGAAAGTTCTGGTGTTTCATCCACTTCTTGGCATTACTGACTGTTAACTCCTGCAGAAAGTTCTGGTGTTTCATCCTCTTCATGGCATTACTGACTGTTAACTCCTGCAGAAAGTTCTGGTGTTTCATCCTCTTCTTGGTATTACTGACTGTTAACTCCTGCAGAAAGTTCTGGTGTTTCATCCTCTTCTTGGCATTACTGACTGTTAACTCCTGCAGAAAGTTCTGGTGTTTCATCCACTTCTTGGCATTACTGACTGTTAACTTCTGCAGAAAGTTCTGGTGTTTCATCCTCTTCTTGGCATTACTGACTGTTAACTCCTGCAGAAAGTTCTGGTGTTTCATCCTCTTCTTGGTATTACTGACTGTTAACTCCTGCAGAAAGTTCTGGTGTTTCATCCACTTCTGGACTAGTCTTGTTCCAGAACTTGAATTTTGTTTCCCAGATCTGCCCCTCAGGCAGATGCACTCTTGTCTTTGGAGGGGAAAATCCCAAATTCGTCGCCCTTTATGACATGCTTGATAGGATGGCAATTGATCTATTTCCCCCCTCCCCCAAAATGGGGCCCCTGGATCTGCGCAGGAAGATGATGATGAATTCCAGTGTCGTAGTTTGCTTATTCTGCTAGTGTCTGACTTTGAAACTTACAGAAACCCGTATAGAACTCCTATTTTGGCTGACAACAAAAGATGTTTGGTTACATTGTTCAAAACATAAACAAACTGACCTCTTATCTTTAATAAATAAAAGATCACCGTGCTGCCTTTGCTTGTTAGTAAAAGGCCCTTTTCCAAGCCTTTATGCATATTGGGCATATAGGGTTAGACTTATATATTAAAGACCAGTCGGCACTCTGTGGATGATGTGGTCAACATCCCACCGACTACCTTTACTTCCTAGGACTTTTTCCTGGTACCCATTTAAGGCTGAGACAACCTGGGAGCCACAGATGTTTTTGGAAGAAAAAAAATGTCTGGCAGCATCAGGATTTGAACACCCGACCTTCAGATCCGCAGGCGAGCATCTGGCCACTACACCACAGGGGATCTCCGTATTTACTTGTAAAAAAAAAAATTGTTGACTTAGTATTACAATGTCTTTGCCGAAGTTTGAAATAGGACATTTAAGTCTTTGAACATCAGACAAGGCACCTTGTGTGACTGCATTTACTGGTGTGCACAAGTCAAAATATGATTACGCTTGCACATTTTATGTTTAGATAGGACTTAGTAAAACATCCAACAACACCCCAGACTCCTACAAGGGTCGGGTATTTAGCCCCTGTGGATGCAGTATGCCCATGAGTTTGTTGCCTCATTTGGGCATCAGCTTTGACTTTCTGAGCCTGAAAGAGTTAAAGATTAGTTTGTGTGGCTGTTAGGACTGAGATTGTGTTTATAGTTTGGGGAGAACTTTTGAGATGTGGAGCTCCATGATGCTAACGTTATTTCAGTTCTAACATGTTCCAGCAAAAGTTGGACAACTACCAACAACATGGAACACAAGTTAAATGCATTTGAAAATAAATGTCTTTAGAAAAATCATGAATGTAAATTGGGATGAATTCAAAAAAGAGTACGGAGATCAGAGAAATGTCCGGACAGATACCTAATGCAGTAAGACAAAGAAGGTGAAGATATATTGGGCAGTCTGAGGTTAAAGGAGCAAATAATCACACACAAAAATGGGAAACAAACGGTCTGAGAAAAAGAGGGCGTCCACGTGAAACATTAAGAAGAACATATTGCGAGAGGGCTAACAATTCTGGGCTTAACTCCATGTCAGAAATCGAGAGAGTTGCATACAGTAGAGTGGGGTGGACGAGTGGAGGAATGGGAGCCGTTTGCGGCATCTAACGGCACACAGAGAAAGGATGAATTAATCAAGTAACAGAAAGTGTATTGATTGGCACTCGTAGAAAGAAGTAGAAAGATAGAAAAGGTTTAAAGAAAGGATGAGGATATTGAGAGGTTAACTTATGTTAACTGTTTGCGATGTGATAATGTGGAGTTGAACTTAATAACTGTTTTGGAAGTGACTTTTGAGAATTTAACCTGCTTGTTATTGGGAAATGACTGTTTGGAGTTTGGCTTGTCTTATTGGGAAATGACTGTTGGGAGTTTGACTTGTGTCTTTTTGGGAAATGACTGTTGAGAGTTTGACTTGTGTCTTATTGGGAAATGAGTGTTGGGAGTTTGACATGTGTCTTATTGGGAAATGACTGTTGGGAGTTTGACTTGTGTCTTATTGGGAAATGACTGTTGGGAGTTTGACTTGTGTCTTATTGGGAAATGACTGTTGGGAGTTTGACTTGTGTCTTATTGGGAAATGACTGTTAAGAGTTTAACCTGTTTCTTTTTGGGAAATGACTGTTGAGAGTTTGACTTGTGTGTCTGTTTGCAAAGTGACTATGATTATTCAGAGTTTGTGGCAAGGGTATATAAGCTACGATGCCTGTGGGTAGCAGTGCACTTTTTTATACCAGTCTAAGATTTTGTTCGCCAACTTCCAGGGAGCAAGATATCATTTTCCTGTGACGCACAATTCTCTTGTAAATTTATTCTATAATTTTACAAAATGAAATCCTGTGTTTCTAATGATTAAATACATTTGGAGCTATATGCTTGTGTTTATTTTATATTTACAGACACACAACAAATGAATTTCTAAGTCTCTGTTACCTTGATCCTATCATGTTGTTATTCCAGCATAAGGCTCGCAGTTTTCTTACTCTTCATGCTCAGTGACGGTAAACTGTGGAGAAAAGATCTGGTTATTTATCTGCTTCTAGACTTTGGTCTTATTCCAGAACTTGAGTTTTGTGTGCACATCTGTTTTACAGATCTGGCTTATTTTCGAGCAGACTGTTGGTTACTACCCTCTTTGGCAGATGCACTCCGTTTTCAAAGGCAACACCTCTAACTAATTGTACTTTTTAGACTTAACGCAATAGCTGATTCACCTAGGTTCTTCAGTAGAACAGTCTGTAATGCAGTGGATTCCAGGTCACTGTGGCTTGGAAGGCAATGAAATAACGGACAGGCTGGCTAGAAGCGGCAGTGATATGGTACAACCAAATAGCGACTTAACCCACCAAGGACTAAGACATTAATACAATCTAGTATCCAAGAAAGGTGGCTGGATACACACACCAAATTCTCTCAAGATTCTCTTCATCGCCTCTCTAGAGATGAACAGTATATTAAATGCTGACTAAGGACAGGACACAACAGACTTGGTCAACATATGTTCAAACTTTTCGGTAAAACACGGTGGGATGGCACCCACTGGTGTACAGTATGCTTTTGAGCAGCTACCTTGCTAAGCCCAATTCTCAGGTGAAGTTAACCACTCTTGAAGGCTTGTAGTACAGACAGTGCACCTGTGAACAAGACCACTTGGTGGCAGTCAGAATTGGAGTTGTGTAACATTTCAGCATCTTCTGCTCTAGCCCTAGGATCTCTTGCTGCATCGTTGAAACAGAATCTACTGGCTGGTTTGTAATATGTCATAGTGGTTACCTAGATATGTGATCAATCATGTAAGAAGGCAGCTTATTAGGGGTTTGTTACTTTTTAGATGTGTTGGATCAAAATAGGCAGATATTGCAGCCTCGTTTGAAACCATCATACTGGGTGGTGATACATGACAAGACAGATGTGGTCATGGCCTTTTGGGAACAAGCAACAGAATCACTAGAATAACAAGATTATGGCATGAGGCACCCGGGTGTAACCAGAGGGTCTGGCCGGCTCACTACACTCAGAGGAAAGGCAAGACGGACGTATAACCAGATTTTGACCGGTACCATCAGTATTGGAACTCTGCGCTGACTGCAGAAGATGAGGACGGAGCAGGCATGGGAATGCCCTGAGTGCTGTGATGTCAATTCTTGACTTAGCTCAAGCCACCATACAATCAGCTAACATTTCTTCTTGTATTTGCAGATGGATTGTTGGGTATAGCAATTGTTGGAGGAGCAGCCCTAGCTATAGGTGGTCTTGTTGGAATCGGACTTGCAGTTCTCAAGAAGTGACCAGCCGGGCACAGAAACATTTATGTGTCAAATCATCATACAAACTTGCAGTTCTCAAGAAGTGACCAGCCGGGCACAGAAACATTTATTTGTCAAATCATCATACAAACTTGCAGTTCTCAAGAAGTGACCAGTCATGCACAGAAACATTTATGTGTCAAATCATCATACAAACTTGCAGTTCTCAAGAAGTGATCTGTCTTGCACATTTTGTTGTTGTTGTTGTGGATATGAAAGCATGAGACTTCTCAAAAAGTGACAAGTCTTGCACAGACAAAATTATGTATGAAAGCGTCATACAGACTTTCACTTCTCAAGATGTGACACGTCTTGCAGACAAAACTCAAGTATGAAAGCATCACAAGATTTGCAGTTCTTGGAAGTGACAAGTCTTTCACAGAAAGAATTTGTAGCAGAAAATTTACAAGGTGTCACAAAATGTATACACAATATGGTTTAGTAGAAATATGTGCTGCCACAATATAGACAACATTATTATTCAAGATAAAGTTGTCATCCTTTCACCCTCAGAATCGACACTTCCAGTTAGGACAAGTTACCCCCCAAATGTCATTTTTTCGACTTGCCTATACTGACCTGTTTTGGAGACACATAGTTAATACTATTGTCTGTTTTTGTGCCTCTGCATGAATTGAGGTTTACTTGTTTGTTTTTCAACCAGAGTTGTTTGTGAAGCCAAGTGGACATCAAATTTTCCCATAGCCTCAATAATGGATACACTTTGGTTCATGTCTATTTACTTGAATATACATTACAGATTAATATTTGATTATTAACAGACGGTTCAGTGTCAAGAGGCAAAAGAAGTGCTTGGTGTTTCTTAGCAAAAGTTAATGGTCGACGTTTGGTGCAGGAGAATCTAGTGTATGATACCACAACATCCAGTTTAAGACTGGAGGTGGAGGCGGTCACTGCAGCTTTCCGCTGGCTAGAGAACACGACATACACACACATCGTGATTGTAACTGACTCAGAAAGCATGCTGAGGAAGATCAGGACAGACATGCCTCGCTGCGGAGGATACGGGTGAGGAGTATTGTCTGGATTTTTTCACCGGGCAACCGGTGTGTTGGAAAATGAACAGGTTGACAAACTTAATGGAATACTGATGCATGATAAGGCAGACGTGGTAGTGCCTTGTGGGAGAGCGTGCACAGTTCGAAGGAGCAGATGGATTACCACAGTCTGGTGAGACTGATGAGAGGTTCTGGCAGATGCTTGAGGCTCAGAGGAAAGGCAAGACGGACACTTAACCAGAATGCTACTGGCACAGTTAGTATTGGAACTTTTCACTGGCTGCTGAGGATGGGGACGGAGCGTTTATGAGAATGCCCTGAGTGTTGTGATGTCGGTTCTTGAATCAAATCAATTACTAATATACATACAAGAGAGAAGGGAAGCTCTAAAGTTTCAAATGCTACCATTAGAGTGCAGTTGCATAACCAACCGCTCGAGTGCCACCAAGAACTCTTCAGTTCCGAGTAAGACGACCACCATGCAGCAGACGGCAGCCATATTAAACATCTATAACCTCTATTGTAAGTCTGTAAACTTTAGACCTTCCTCATTCTCTTGTATGTATATTATTAATATGTAAGGTATATTTAAGGAAATATACATGAATAAAAGTGTATCCATCATTTTGAATAACCCTGAATAATTCACTCCACTAGAAATCCAGAGGGTTGCCAAACCATCATCATCATCAGGTGCCTTGCCAACTGGCAAAGGCGTTCATGCCTCTCCATAATCCACGATCTCCTGCAGCATGTATCAGTTCGTGTGCCGACACACCTCCATGCCATGCAACAAGACTGTCAAGCATCTTCTCTCTTTGTCTTTCTCTATCCCTCCTTCCACAGATCTTTCCAGTGGTCACAACTCGTTTTATTTTCCCTCTTCTCATAACATGGCCGAAAAATGATGACTGTCTCCTTCTGATGTCTGTGATGAGTTGTCTTCGGGCTCCCGCCTCTTTTAAAACCTCTTGGTTGCTCTTTTTGGCTGTCCAAGGTATGCTAAGCATTCTTCTGTAAAACCACATCTCTGAGGCCTCAAAAAATTGTTTGGCCTGCCTACCGATTGTCCAGGATTCACAGCCATATGTTAAAACTGGATGTAAGTAGCAAGCAAGAATTCTCTTTTCTAACTCTCAATGACAAGGAGATATACATTTGCCAATTACTGTATTTGTCAGTGCATAAAACGCTTTTCTTGGGGTTCTCAAAATAAGCTGCATCTAACCAAAGGAGCCCTGCATGTACCGTTATTTTTCACAGTTGTCCATAATATAGAAAAAGACTGTAGATGGCATTCCTACAACACAAGTTTTAAACTCCATGTGACAAAATAAGCTGAAGAACATTGTAGGTCAAGAGAACGTAATTCATTTCAGACCTCCATAAGGCTTTGGCTGTCTCAGGGCGACGCTCAACAATCAGGGGAAGGAGGAGAGGGATAATCAGACGGTTACTGGTACCATCGGAATTGGAACTCTCCGCTTGCTGCTGAAGATGGGGACTGAGCACTTATGGGATTGTCTAGAGTGCTGTGATGTTGATTCTTAATTCAACATTGGCTGTCTCAGAAGATTGTTTTGTGCAAAGTGAACAAAGGAAAGTGTGCACAACACGGAAAATGTTAAAACTGGCCAGAATTAGAGACTTTTATACTGAAGTTGCAAGAAAAAAAAAAAAAAATTTTTTTTGTGTGGAAAAATTTCTTCTAATGTTTGGGGTGGGTTTTAAAAAGGCAGTTAGTTCTGTGTGGCTTCCAGGGACCCCATTATGGGGGAAAACAAGAATAGATCTACTGCCTCACAAACAAGCATGTCGAAAGCGTTGACTAATTAGGGGCTTCCTTCAAAATCAGAGTACATCTGCCTGAGAGGCAAGGAACAACCAGCTGCACACAAATAAGCCTGTAAAACAGATGTACACACAAAACTCAGGCCCTGGTATGAAGTCAAAGTCCAGATGGACGAACAACCAGGACTTTCCGTGGGAGCTTACAGCCACATTATACATTGACAAACACAGTAGTTGTTTACATTTTAAGTAACCCGGCACAGCACACCACAGCCGATATGCTAATATGCCGGGACAGTTTTGAACGTTTCAGTCCCAAAAGACGGAAAGGTGCCAGCAACTGTGATCATTGTTTATCTCCACTTTTGCTATACAATGCAGACCTGATAAGGAGAACTTACTGGCGACAGAAAAAAAAATGATTCTTCTCATCAGAAATTCCTCTTATCCAGATAAGATTTCAAACATTAAAAAATGTTGGGCATAAACAATGTGTTCTTCACAACAGAAATTTGCCACATCCAAGATCGCCTTAAATGGTTTGCATTGTATAATACTGTGTACATACATTATATAACTTATTTATTTTAGACAACAGTGATATTTATATTGCCACTAATCTCTTTGTGTACTTAAAACTGTAACATTTCTTCAGACCATTGTTGGTTTTATGTTTTTGATGTGCGAACAAAGTAAGTTTAACTCTTTGAGTCCCAAGGAATGCATCATACATTCATAGGTTCCTACCTAGAAGCCCAATGAACGCAAGATGCGTCGATTTTATGTCTCTCTTGACTACCCCATTGGCCTGTGATACTAAACCTCCTGGGACTCAAAGAGTTAACTGTCCTCACGAATAAATACTATTATTAATTACTGAATATATTAGTTGTATGAGGAAGCCACCATGGTGTAGTGGCTAGATGCCCGCCTGTAGATCCGAATGTCATGGTTTCAAATCTGAACAGAGCTGGACTTTTTTCAAAAATGACCTTGGCTCTCAGGTCAACCCAGCTTGAAATGGGTACCAGCAATAGTCCTGGGAAGTAAAGGCGGTTAGCATGATGTTGACCACATTACCCACAAAGTGTCGATTGGTCTATAAAATAAATGGTGTAGAGCCATATGTTGATTTTGATAACTGTCCTATGGCAGGGTCGGCTCTGTGGCTTAGTCCATGCGAAAGTTTTGTAATGCTGCGATGCCGTGTTCGATCCCAGCTGCGGGCCATAAGCCTTGCGTTGGTTTCGACAGTGGTATCAAAAAAGCTGACCGTCCAGGAAGCAATGGCAGACTACTGGACGTAAATTTGCCTAGAAAAACCACACAACAGCCAGGGGCTGTTTCTGCTGTAAAGGATACGCAACTGACCTATGGCAGGGCTAATAGACTGAAATGGCTGGGGTATACCGAAAGAATGCTATATAACAGAGGTAAAATCTGTACACGATGGAGCTGAATGGTTTCAGACCAAGAAGACAGTGAAAAGATAATATCCAGACAGACCTGCAAACACTTGGAGACACCAACTGGAATTTAAGAGAAGGTCAATCTGAGAGATGAACAGATGGTGGCAGATATCTGCAGCGATGAATCTCAAGAGCTGGGAATGCTGAAGAAGGACAACCAGAGAGATGAATGGATGGAGGCAGATATCTGCAGCGACGAATCTCAAGTGTTGGGAATGCTGAAGAAGAAGGGCAACCAGAGAGATGAATGGATGGAGGCAGATATCTGCAGCGATGAATCTCAAGGGTTGGGAAAGCTAAAGAAGAAGGCCAACTACAGAGATGAATGGATGGAGGCGGATATCTGCAGTGATGAATCTCAAGGGTTGGGAATGCTGAAGAAGAAGGCCAACTACAGAGATGAATGGATGGAGGCGGATATCTGCAGCGATGAATCTCAAGAGTTGGGAATGCTGAAGAAGAAGGCCAACTACAGAGATGAATGGATGAAGGCGGATATCTGCAGCGACGAATCTCAAAGGCTGGGAATGCTGAAGAAAACCTTTCGTTCCAAGGGAAGTAAAAACAGCCAGGAGGATGCTGACCTATCACCCACTGCGCCCCTATTGTCTATAAAATTATGATTTTAGCATCATTTACCGGCCTTTACTTCCAAGCTCTTTGCCTGATATTCATTTTAGGCCAGGTTGACCTGGGAGCCAAAGTAAATTTTGAAAATAATCCAATTCAGTGTAGATGAATTTTCGGCCCCAGGTGAGCTTCTAACCACAACGCCATGGCGGCTTCCTTGAATATCTTAAATCTGTTTAATATCTTCAGTCTTCTGAACATGTAGAATCTACTGAATCAATTATCTGTCTAGAATATGTCAATGAATACATCTTTTGTTTAAAAACAATATTACACCAAATAGAAAAATAATACAGATAACATCAAAATGGCTATTTTAATAGAAAGAAAAATATTTTGTTTACCCATCAAATTCACAGAATTGTGGACAACCATAACAACAGACAAACGCATGAGGTCAAAAACAAGAACAGGCTCACTGTCACCATAACAAGCATGTTATAATTTTGTAATAAAAGATGCACAGAATGCAGCCATGCTGTAAATGGAAACAACACTTACTTTCTTAGATGAACACAGAAAAAGAAGACGAAGAAGAATGAGTCCAGATTAACAAGGGACGAGATCGTCGATGGTGAAACATAAACACACGTTCAGTCTGGCAGTAGACATGATGACATTGTTAATTCAATTCTTTCTTTAAAAAAAAAAAGGCAGAAACAAAATAGCAATATAACGAAAACTGAAAAAGGTAACAGTAAACAATAAGAGCTGTCTCTGATAATATAAATTAAAATGTCCACAAAGTAGGAAGAACTGTCGAAGCAACAGACAATAAGTTATGTATTCTTACCAGATGGCAATATAGTTCACATATCATTGTTTGAAAGAAGCTAATAAAAGTAGATTTCTGTACACAACAATAAGAAGGAGACATACTTCTTTGGCCACATAATGGGAAGAGAGACATTGGAAAACATCGTGAAAACTGGAAAGGTCAGTAGAAAGAGGGGTAGAGGCAGACCAAGAGGGATAATGCTGGATGGGCTGAAACAATGGCATGGAGGGAAATCATCAAGAGAGCTGTTCCAGGCAACCAGGAATGGTGATCTGTGGAGATGCATGAGCGCCCACGCCTGTTGGCAGGGCACATGATGATGGTGATGAGAGGAGCGGCTGACAGGGAATCACAACGTCACTGAAATGGAAACAGACCGACCGAGAAAACTCCCTGTGTTGAGTTCCGAAGGTCCATTTTGGAGAATACAGAACAGACCCACTGTCACCCCCCCCCCCCCCCCCCCCCTCAAGCATATGGTAGGAGGCAACTAATTAGGGGCGTTTTCTTCAAAGTCTGAATGCATCTGCCTAACAGGCAAAAAGGAACCAACAGTGAGCACAGAAGAAAGTCACATCTGTGAAAACAGATGTGCACATAAGAAACTCAGATTCTTGATCAAAACCAAAGTGCAGGAGTGGGACAAACAACCAGAACTTTTCACCCGAGTTTAAGAAGAAGCTAAGAAGGAAGATTCAGGAAACAAGGACATCAAAGAGTAACCATAAGACAAATGTTTTTGAGAGAAGCAAAAGATGTTGGACTGTATCCATGATAGGGAAAGATTAGGAGAGATTAGACTGTGAGCCCTTTGTGATAGGATGATGATGATAGATGTTCAGGTCAGTTGTGTTCTGAATGAATAAAATTATGTAGCTTTCTTCTTGGACCCCAGACATTTGTTCAGCATCTCACCGTAGTAGGAGATCCAGTCCTTCAAAGCTTTCGCTGAAATGTAAAAAAGTTGCACACTCAACAACACAAACAAACAAGCATAAGTAACAAAAGTAAAGATCCCTTTCCACGCCTTTAGGCGTATCGGGCATATGGGAAGAGCGCCCATATTTTTTACAGACCATCAGAACTCGGTGGGTAATGTGGTCAGCATTACGCCGGCTGTCTTTACTTTCCCAGGACAGCCCATCCTGGTACACATTTTAGGCTGGGTCGATCTGTGATGCCCCATACACCATGATAAAAATCCAGGCAGCCAGCAGTGGGTTTCGATCGCGGTACGCTGGATTAACAAAAAAGCACACACACACACATAAATAAAACATCAGAATGTGCTACTTCAGTCAAGGGGAAAACTCAACAACTAATTTGCACTGCTCGTGTGGGTTCCACATCTCAGTGTGAGGGGAATAAAGGGACAGACACTGCCCCTTTCATGAGCAGGCCGTAAAAGTAAACTAATTAGGGGTGTATCCTTCTAAATCAGAAGGCATTTGCATGAGAAGCAAGGAACCAACAGTCTGCACACAAACAAGCCAGATTTGTAAAACGGATGTGCACACAAAACTCAAGTTCTACAACGAGGCTAAAGTTCCTTGGAATAAACAATGGGGGAGGGGGGGGGGGAAGAGATAGGCCCAACAAGCATGCTGTAAAAGGTGACTGACTAATTGGGAGTTTCTTGAAACTATGTATAGGCACGATTTGTGCAGATATCATAGCCTAGCTGTAAACCACAACATAATGTGCCAACCACCCTTCTAACTCTTTCAGTCTCAAGCAATGCCCAGTGTGTGAATTAATTTATCCCTTGATTCCCTATACACAGCATGCTGCACTCTTTTACTTTTACTATTTGGTCAGCGCATACTAAAGAAATCTGCCTTCCCTGGTTGGTCACTACAACTGTGTTGTTGTTTGCTGTTTGTATTCACCGGCTGCAAACCTCGGCAAAAAGACCTGATCGTTTATTCATTTCTTTGTTCCAGGACCTGAGTTTTACATGTGCAGTTGTTTTACAGATCTTGCTTATTTCTATGCAGGTTTTTGGTCCCTTGCCTCTCAGGCAGATGCACTCTGACTTTGAAGGAAGCCCCAATGAGTCGACTCTTAGGACATTCTTGCTGGGTAGGCAGTGGGTCTATTCTTGTTTTCCCCACAACGGAACCCTGGAACCCATATGGAGATCTCCAGCTATGTTAAAGTTAGTTTCAGCTTCACAGCAAACGAGTCACCCCATCCTTGCTCCGCTCCTGTGCCAACCAAAAACACACAGAATGTTTATCACAGTCCCTTGTGGAAAGATTGACAGACTGCTGTCTCAGCATATGCACTAGCATACACACGCATTAAAAGCATACAGCAGCCATCAGAAGTGTTAACACAAACAGTCCAACATTAGAAATGCAGTTCATCATCGACAGTAGCAGAGGTAACCAACACATCAACAGTTGCACCTTGCAATAAATTTTAATCACATAAGGGCACCACCAATATTGTGACGACAGACCATGTGCCATTTTCTGAATCAACAATTCACAACACAACACCATGTTGGTCACAGTCAAAAAAATTCCAAATGAAATCCGCAGCTCATAAGGTGGCACCATGCACTGAACTCAGAAGCTGGGCGACGAAACTATATCCTTTCAGTCTACAAATGGAACAAAAATGCAACGGCCACTGTCTGGCAGAAGCAAAAACAGTGGCCGTGCCTAGCGTCTATTTTGACCGGAAGTATGTATATTGCCACTTTAAAAGTAAGGCATTCATGACTTGGCATCATGATTATTTCATTTCACCACTTTAGTATTTCCTGTGAAACCTTTTAGTAGTGAAAGAGTTCAGGATGAAAGCAGCAGAAAAAGAATGAGCAACAAACAAAAGGTAAAATACAAACAGCAAACACAACACTCAACATTCCAAGAGACAAACATACCTCCAAGTTGTGACACGCTGTTCTCAGGTGACGAGAGCTGTTCAATGACTTTATCCAAAGTTTTCTGCAAGATTTCTGCATCTTTCAAGTGCTGACTGAGCTCTGCGTTGGCATATTTCACCTGAAAAATTCATAAGAATACATATTATGAATGTGTGTTCCCAGCGTGTGAATCGGGTAACCGCTCGGGGAGAAAAAGAATAAATCCACTGCCCCCCTAACAAGCATGTGGTGAAAAGCTACTAATTAGAGATCTTTTCTTTGAAGCTATAGCGCATCTGCCTGAGCGGCAAAGAACCAACAGTCTGCATACAAGTAAGCCAGATCTGTAAAATGGATGTGCATGCAAAATTCAAGAAATAGAACAAGACTGAAGCCTAAAAGTGAATGAACAATCAGAACTGACTGCTGTAGTTTGCAGTTGGTTAACACTAAGAGGTTCATTGTTCACTATTTATTTAAAGATCATCTTTATCGCACATCAGACATGACCATAAGTGCTCCGATATCTCCTCCTGAGTATGTCTCCAAGTGTTTTTAGGCTAACAACTCTCATTCCGTTTTGGTTGGTGTAAGGTCGGATGGCCCCTGTATAGTTTCCCTGACTCGCGGCCCCAACTGGTACACCCGGGGTATGCAGTCTATTCAACAAAAAATCATTTTCTAGGAAACTGAAAGCTTTACAGCGTTCAGTCTCTTGTATGACATTGAGGATGTCTGCCCAGTCCACAGATGGCCCATTCCTGATAGTCGCACTGCTAGCCAGGGCGACTGCTCTCTCATTGTCTTTTACACCAGCATGCCTGGGACACAAATGAAGGTGATTTTGCGAAACGCTGCGTGCTGAATCGGATGGAGCGACTGTTTCCGTATATGGCCAGCCTTGATCTTCTGTAACACTAAGAAGAAGACGGATTTGTGTCTTTATGTTTAATATTCTACTGCTTCTTCTGTCTGTGCTTCTTGGGATGATGTCTATTATTATCTATTAAATTATGCATGAATGGAATTATGTATGCAAGGACCTACGTGACCAATTCTGAACTCTCTAAACTAAAAAATTTATCTTGTTTGTTCTATCTCTGTGTTTGCCCTTAATGGGCAGCTGGCTTGCTGAGTTGTGGTTAAAAGCTAGACTGTGATATCTGCACCTTCCAGCCCCACTCACTGGATTTAAGAAACTCCTAATTAGTAGCTCTTTAGGACATCCTGATTAAGGTGATAGTGGGTCTGCTTCCCTCTACCATGGGGCCCAAGAAGCCAGATAGGGATTCCTTCTTGGGTACTGCCTCAAAAAGTGCAGATATCGCAGTCTAGCTGCAAACCACAAAACAATGTGCCAAGCGCCCTTTTGAAGGTGATCACAGAAGCAGAATAAGTACAAGTAACAACTGCACGGAAAAGACAAGGTTGATTGATTGATTGATTGACATTCAACCCCACCAGGACATCACACCGAGCGATTCACACAAAATGACATCATTCGGATGGGGACCACCCAGGGACAGGTCCCAGAAATCCCGTTCAACCCACATGTTGGGTTATATTAGGGACCCCGGCAACAGTCGGAATAGGGCTTCAAAATGACGAAAAACTGAATCACATATTTGGATGGTAGATGAGAATGACAAAGTTAAGGAGCCCAGCGTATTTAACCATTCTTCCAGCCGCTCCTCCATCAACAATACAAGAAGAAGATAGTGTAATTACCGCAAGGATCCGTTTTCTAACATCAACAATCTGTTTCTCCAGTTGGGTTTCTTCAGCATCACTGAGCCGCTGCAGCTGACACTGATCTTCCGGCAAAACTACATCGTCAGGAATTGTGAACACTTGATGTAGGAGGAAATACTGGCAAAAGAAATCATAACATACACGGAGAAGGGCAGATACAGCTGGCTAGCAGACTGCAAACATTCCTTAACTAGGATCAACATTGAATAGAAGGAATAAAAAAGTACGACAGAATCACTAATAAACTTATCATCATTATGTGGGCTACCAATTGGCGTAGTCGCAAATGCGTCCCCACAGATCACAATCCCTGGTTGCCTGAAACAGCTCTCTTGATGATATCCCTCCATTTCTTCGCTTCAGCCCATCCAGCATCATCTCTCTTGGTCTGCCTCTACCATTTTGTCCAATGTCTCTTTTCTCATTGTGTGGCCAAAGAACAGTGTTTGTCTTTCTTATTCTTATTGTTGTATACAGAGATCTAATTTCATTAGCTTCTTTCAAGCAATCGTTGTTACTTACTCCAAGGTAATCGTAACATTCATCTCAGAAACCACATCTCTGTTGCTTCAAAATTCTTCCTAATTTGTTCATTGACATTCCAAGATTTGCTACCATACAGCAGAACAGGTTCTATGTAACATTTTAGCACCCTCTTCTAATAAACTACAAACATTAATTAACTAGTGTCACATAGACTGCATGAATAAAATATCATACTTTTCTGTATATAAGATCCCACCCCCACGACAACCCAGTGTTTTAAGCCCAAAATTAGGAAATAAATACTTTAATCACATTTTGTGTATAAGACGACCCCCATTTAAACTTTAAAAATGTAGGAAAACATATAGCATACATGGAAAAATACCACATAATCACTAATAAACTACGAACATGCATTAAGTAAAAAGAATTAGTAGAAAAAGAGGAGGAAGAAGAGGATAAAGTAAAAAGCATAGAAGAATAATAATAAGTGGAATGAACAGAAAAAGAAACGATAGAAGAAAAAGAAATACATTTAAACAGCGAAAAAGAAAAGAGAATGCCAACCTCAAGTTTATCAAACAGCATGCAGACATCTTTGTCGATAAACTCGCTGACAGCATGACGAGCATTCTTATATTCTGTCTCTGACATCACATTTGGATACTGTTGAACAAAAATATAGGAATGTTGAATTAAGAATTGACATCACAGCACTTGGGACACTCCTATAAGCGCTCAGTCCCCATCTTCAGCAGCAAGCAAAGAGTTCCAATTCCGATGGTACCAGTAACCGTCAGATTGTATATCTGTCTTATACTTCCCCTGAGTGTTGAGCGTTGGCCAGATTCCCTGGTTGAACAAAAATATATGAATGAGCAGGGAGACTGCTAGCGTTTGTGAGGCTGCTGACAAGGTCAGGTCACATGTGTACAAGGTCTGACACATATTCTCACTTCTGGCAACATCAGGTTTTTCTTCCACTATCTGATCTTTCCGTTAATTTCCTACAAAGATACAGGCATAATAATCCGGACTACCAAGCCGAGCTAAGGTATTAACACTTTACTGTAACTTCAGAAACTCTTTTGACCAGTGGATCTCAATAAAAACAGGCTATCTTACAACACTTTCAAGATGCAAGGAATAACAAACAGCAACAGTTTTTTTCCCCCACAAGCAGCTGCTGGGAGACTTTTCTAGGCCATAAACCGAGGGTTTCTGAGTAAAAAACAGAAATTGCCAAGAGGAGGAAAATGGCTGTTTACCGCTCTACCTATGTGCCGGTTCTGACCTACGGGTGTGAGTCAAGGGTAATGACTACAGTTTATAGAATACCCAGATACCCAGTCCTTACAAACCTGAGTGGATCAGTCACAGATACAAATGGTTTGGACATGTATGCAGAATGAGAGAAAATCGGTCACCGTGGCAGGCTAAGAACCAGGGAACCAGACCTCTTCGGAGACCCAGCCTCCACTGGGAAGACAAAATCCGACAGTCCCTGACTGACAGAGGACTGGAATGGAACAAAGCCAGGAAGAAAACTGCTGATAGAGACATCTGGTGATCTCTCTGGCAAACCTCTACACCCAAGGTAAAAGACAATCGACTAAGTGAAAAGTAAAATAACATAGTTCTTTTTCCACCGTATATTCTAAGAGAATGATCACTTAATTTACACATAGAAATGTCACCATTTTACTACTAGCTGTACTATCTCTAGTCCAAAAACTGCTACCACAATTCTACCCCTATATGGTATCACCACCTTTCAGTTGTCCAGACTGTCCACTCGGACATTTGGTCAGCAACTGCCCTCAGCATGTGGTCAACCTGAGATCATTTCCCCTTACCTCCTGTAGTTCACGCGGCTTTTGTGTGCACCATGATAATCACATATTCTGTGTTCTGCTGTCTTATATTTACTCCATCTCCACCCATAATCGAAACCTTGATAGAGATGAAATTAGACGTTCAGTTACTGGAACTCAACAACCATAACTGTTGCATCCAAACTACTGTATTTATTACAATCAAACATGTAATCATTACAACCAACCAACTGTAACTGTTGCATCCAAACAGCTGTAATCATTACAACCTAACAGTTGTAATCGTTAAAACCAAACAGCTGTAATAATTACACCTTTTTTGAAAGACGACGAGGCAAACTGTGCATTAAGGAGTGATGAGGAGATCTGAATGAACTCTGCAGTGAAATCAAGCTTTCAATGTTTCAACAAACTCTGTGATGGATTCAAATGTACCCACTTAAAAAAGAAACTTTAAATCAAGTCTTCATTGAATGAACAAGCATTTCATCAAGAATGCCATTCATGAACACACTCAGCAATGAACTAACTTACCTTTTCGGAGCATGTTTTACAAAATGCTTTTAAAGCTTCTCTGTACAAGTCGCAAACTGCGTTGAACACTAGAGACAGAGAAAAACATACATTACCAAACATGTTATAGCTATCATACTATAAACAATGCTTGTACTTCAGCAAAAAGTAACACACAGTTCAATTTTATCAAAGAAAAAGAAACAACTACTTTAACAAGACAATACATTAAATAGTTTACCTCTCTAATCAACTTTTGTTTTACTGTTTCTTTTTTCGCCTCCTCGCCTCCTTAATTCATTTATTTCCCATTTTAATGCCTGTCTGGTGATTCTCCGCTCGTTTTTTCTCAGGATGTGTCCAATAGAGCGCCATCTTCTCTGTCTTAAAATGGTTGCTTATAGCAGTTACCCAGACATTTCTCTTATTCCTTCAGCCCTTTTGAATCCATCCCAGTTTCAACGTTGCTAATGCCACACAACCCTTAAATACAGTTCCCTCATGTTGTGGCAACCCTTTAATACAGTTCCCTCATGTTGTGGTGACCCTTTAATACAGTTCCCTCATGTTGTGGCGACCCTTTAATACAGTTCCCTCATGTTGTGGTGACCCTTTAATACAGTTCCCTCATGTTGTGGTGACCCTTTAATACAGTTCCCTCATGTTTTGGCGACCCCCAAACAATCAATTTTCTTCATAACTTCAATGAATATATGTTTTCCAATGGTCTTAGGCAACCCCTGTAAAAGGGTCATTCGACACACACACACACAAAAAAGGGGGTAGCGACTGGCAGGTTGAGAACCGCTGATATACAGTATACATAAAACCAGTTCACAAAACAATACACAATTTACTCAAAACTTGACACTAACTTCCATTCAACAAGGTAATGGGGGTGAATCCAAAATGTTGAGCTTCATATTCGAAGTTGTTAGTCTCTGTTTCTGTAACAGGACCACTGTTTGATGAACCTTTTAACTCTGGTTCCATTTCAACGAAAATGTCTTGTCATGTGTGGTATCCTGCTGGAAGACAAATGGGAAGAATGGTTCAGTCATTAGACTCAAGGATGTACTAAATAACTCTACTGCTGGGGGACAGAGGGAAGAATGGTTCAGTCATTAGACTCAAGGATGCTCTAAATAACTCTACTGCTGGGAGACAGAGGGAAGAGTGGTTCAGTCATTAGACTCAAGGATGTTCTAAATAACTCTACTGCTGGGAGAAAGATGGGAAGAATGGTTCAGTCATTAGACTCAAGGATGTTCTAAATAACTCTACTGCTGGGAGACAGATGGGAAGAATGGTTCAGTGATTAGACTCACAGTTATCTTAATCTATAATAAGGGCTCAATGATCGAGCAACATGTGTAGAGAATATTTTTATTTTAAAAATAATTAATAACCAAAATCAGGGGAGAATGAAGAAATTGACTTTATTTTCAAAGTATCAGAAATTGGGCTATCCTCCAAATAACGGTCCTAAATTATCGAGGCAGAAAATAGACCCTAACAGGGCCTCAGTCACGTGTCAATTGAGCACTTCCGGGGACTATAACGTCACCGCCAAATCGCGAACTTACGGCGACTTCCGCCAGTAATCCCCCACGCCGCTCATGCGGCGTGGATTGGGGCTAAACTAGATGGCTAGGACTCACGAGCAAATAAATAAAATGAAGGAAGCTGCAGGAGATGCAGCAGCTGCTGCTCATGAGTCCCAGCCATCTAGTTCCAGCCATCTAGTTTAGCCCCAAACTACGCCGCATGAGCGGTGTGGTGGATACTCTCGGCGGTGGCAGAAGTCGCCGGAAGAGCACAATTTAAGACGACAGAAGTGCGCAATTGGCAAGTGACTGAGGCCCTGTTAGGGTATATTTTCCGCCTCAATAAATTAGGACCGTTAATCGGAGGATAGCCAGAAATTGGAAGCACAGGCTTGAGCTTCCAAGCACTCATCTTCCATACTGCAGTGTATTTTATCTTTACTTTAATTAAAGCATATTACTTTCAGATAACAATATTTGGCTATCTTACGAATAACTGTTGGTAAAGATGGCGGCAGCAAAATATCATTTCCAGCCACGAATGCAGCTCACGCGGCATGGATTGGGGCTAAACTAGATGGCTAGGACTCACGAGCAAAGCTGCAGGAGATGCGGAAGCTGCTGCTCGTGGGTCCTAGCCATCTGTTTAGCCCCAATCCACATCGTGTGAGCGACGTGGGGGACTCGTAGCGGTGGCGGTAGTCGCCAGAAAACCGCTGGAGAACCGCAAATTAAGTCGCCAAGAACACGTGACTGGCTCGAAAGGATATTTTGCGGCCACTATCTTTACCGACCTTTATTCGGAGAATAGCCCAATATTTATATACCTATTTTGAGTATAAATAAAATTTTAAAAATATATAATGTATGGTAAACTGTAAATGTTTACATTAAATTATATCCAACATGTACACCTACATACTACCATATAATAATACACACCGCATACATGATACATACTACCTATAACACGACCGACACATATTAATATGCACACCACATACATTGTATCCTTAAAGTCACAGTGCACCACCACATTGGAATATGCACCATGACTTTACGGACACACAGTATGTACACACATCCATACACACAACACACATTCCATTAATTAAAAACGAACAAATATACCTTCATACATACTTATAAGTAAGTTATAACTTACAATCATACACACAGAAAACGACAACTCAGGAAACGTTGATGAGTGGATACAAATTGGCTAGATTCAATATTCAAATTTTATATGGCAGGAGCAACAAAGATAAGAATACAAGTTGTAGTTGTTGGTGACTGTATCCATAAATCTTGAAATATTAGCTAAAATATGCCAGGAAAATAGAAAACATGAGGAATCTACCTGAGATTGGTCGGGCTGGCAGACGTCAAACGGGCGCCTCTTTTGTATTACTGAACTTTGACACTGAAGAGTTAGGATGAAGGAAAGACAACGGTTTGCAAAATTTCTTCTTCTTCTTCTTCTTCTTCTTCTTCTTCTTCTTCTTCTTCTTCTTCTTCTTCTTCTTCTTCTTCTTCTTCTTTTTCTTCTTCTGCTACATTCTAAGCCCTTGAGGTTTTTCGTTGCAGAAATCCTCTGTCGACATGTATCTCTTTGTCAAATTCTTTCCAGTTGGCTAGTAATGCTGAATTTAGGTATAATGATATAATGTAATATTTCACAGTGATAGTAAACAGCTGCAAGACCACATAAACCTACTACACGACAGTTGTCTCAAGCATCATATGAAGATCAATACTGAAAAGACAGAAGTCATGAGCATAAGTAGAGAGCAACAGACCATCGACATAAAGATTCTAGATCACAGCCTAAAACAAGTGCAAGAATTTGAATACCTGGGAAGTATCTTTACATCCAATGGTAAAATAGACAGAGAGATTGAAGCAAGAATCCAACAAGCCAACAATGTCGCATACCAGCTTGCCCCAATTTTAAAACACCCTGCTGTCCCAGCTGAGATAAAAAGACAAATTATAAATACAATCTTTATACCGACATTAGGTTATCAATGTCAGACTTGGACATTAACAAAAGAACATGAGAGAAGACTAACCACCTGTGAAATGAGATGTTTGAGAATGGCTGCGAATAAAACCAGAAGAGATCGAGTGAGAAACGATGTGATTACAAGAACTATTGGAACCATACCCATCGTTAAATTTATTGAGAAGCAAAGAAGGAAATGGTTTGGTCACCTAATGAGAATGGAACCAACGATGCCAGCATCAAGAGCATACAACATGAAAATCGAAACAACAAGAGGCAGGGGAAGACCAAGAAGAAGATGGATTGAAGGAGTCACAGACAACTTGAGACTTCATAACATCACGGCATATGAAGCGACTGAGCGCGCCCTGGCTCGGTTGCCGATCATCTGATAGACTGCGACGCCTAGCGGCACAAGCAGATTTTGACAAAAGAAAGAAAGAAGATATAATGTAGTTCGTCCATCACGAGTGATGATGACCACTTACATCCAAAGTAGTCATGATCAATGATTATGTGTACGAAGGTGGCTGATTAGTTCAATATGAGCCCGGACAGTCCTTGGGCAGTGCGGACAACTGGTGAAAGCCCCAGTAAGTGTGATTCTTTCTAATCTCCCTCCGTTTCTCTGTCAGTGCAACCTCCGCTGCCTGACAGGTCGATGCACCATGTCTGAGGGACGTATGCCATCCAGAACAGTCTTGCGTAGCAGCCTCCCACATCGCTGTGTTGATGCCAGAAGAATTGAGAGCAGTTTTGAGAGTGTCCTTATAGCGCCTTTTCTGGTCTTCCTGTGACCCCTTCCCTTGCACGAGCTCTCCAAAAAATACTCTCTTTGGGAGGCGATATTCTGGCAAAATGACGTAATGATATAATAAGAGGAACTCGACGGGAGCATGTACAACAGAAGACTATCAGTCTTCCGTAGGTGTCCCACTTTCAACAACTGTTTCGGCCCAACCACTTCCTTAGAGCATTATGCAGGAAGCCAAAGAAGAATAAGAAGCTAGCACAGAACGCTGCGGGATTGACTAAGGAGGGGATCCGAGCATTTATGAAGTGAATGTTTCGATGTACAGTGTTTTAAGCCTCGTCTGTCGACTAACTAACTGACTAAGAAGAATACTTGGCATTCAGTGGCAAGACAAAATCACAAACACCGAGGTACTGGAAAGAGCAGGTTCTACAACAGTCTTTTCCATGCTCAGTCTGCGAAGGCTCGGGTGGCTGGGTCACACCTGGAGAATGAAGGATAGCTGAGTTCCTGAGGACATTCTTTATGGTGAATTAAAGGCAGGAAGAAGATGTCGAGGCCGACCTCTACTATGGTATAAAGATATGTGCAAGTGGGACATAAATGATACAGGTCTTAAGGTGGACTCATGGGAACAGAATGTCATAGACCGTGTTGAGTGGAAAGGGCATATCAGGAAGGGAATGAGAGTGAAGGAAGAAATGATTGCAGAAAGAATGAGAGCTGAGCGTCTGAAAAGAAACGGATTAAACACAAATGTTGACAACAATGGTCGTGAAATCCCATGCTATCATTGTGGAAGACTTTTCTCGACACGGCCGGGTCTTGCTAGTCACATTCGCCATCGCCATGGGCTGTGAGTCCTATGGCTCCTCGTAGCGCAATATAACACTATCGTCTGGAAAAACGGAAAGGTGCCAATCAATCTTTTATAAATAATTACACGATACATAAACATAAACACAAACACACAAAGAACACTATCTATCATGTAGCAGGTCCTTTGCAGAACGTCGCTCTTATCACAGTCTGCATGAAAGAAACTCGGCCTCCCGCCAGTTCTCCCGCCTCATGTACTTTCACACTCAAGGAGTCACTTATATCCTGTGCCCATCTTCGTGTCGGTCGGCCCCTGCCCCTCCTTCCTGGTACCATGCCTTCTGCTATATTTTTTTCCAATCCGTCGTGGCCTTTGATATGACCAAAATATTTCACCTTCCCAGACAGGATGCTGTTTATTAGCCAATCTTCCTTGATGTTCAGATCTTTTAAGATTTCAATATTTCTCATCTTCTTTGTCCAAGATATTCTGAGAATCTTTCTATAGAACAAAGAATACTACAGATCCTAATTATAACCCTGAAGGTTGAACAGGATAGTTTTGACAAATTACTACTTCTTGTAAAAATTTGCAGACAAAGGCTTAATCTGTTAGTTGTGCTCCAGGTTTTAGAGCTATACCAGACAAGTGATCTTATCAGTGTTCTAAATATTGCGATCGATTTTATGTATGATAATTTTGATGACGCGAATTGCTGTCTTTAGAACTGTACTCTCCATGGTCACCACTTAAACATATTTGTTTTGATTTCAGCCTCTCTTCCATGGTCTCTCTGTTGTTATTGCCAACGGAAATTTGGAACTACATTTGAAGCAGAGAAACTAAATTTGCGGGATCGAAAAGGGAAGACACAGATCTTCCAGAGGTAGGAAGTGGTTCTACGACTGTCTTTACAAGATCAGTTAGTATTATGTGTTGTGGTTCGCAACTTAGCTTCGATATCTGCACCTTTTTTGACTCACAATATGCTTGTAAGGGGCAATGAGTCTAGTTAGTTAGTCGACAGATTATCATCAACGCAAATTGAACCATTCAGTCCATAACTGCTCAGACCCCCCTCTTCAGTATCTCCCTCAGCGTTTAGTGGCTTATGACACCAATTCTGTGTTGATTTACTATTCTTCTTTGGGCCCCCGTGTAGCGCTCTTGTCTGGCTTCACCCCTTTTCATGTTATGTTCGGGTAGTCTTGTCATTGTTGTAGATTCACAATAATGACTCGATTCGTTTACTCGAGCCGCCTCGCCGAGTCTGTTCTCACACACTGGGATCCGAGATTTATACGAAAAGTGTGAAAATAATTATTCTAATGAGTATTGTTTGGATAATCCTCACGACAATCATCGTCTCCTATTAACATGTCAACTCTTCGTTGAACTATGAGGAATTAGAAGGAGCACGTGTGGGAATATCCGGAGTGTGGTGCCGTTACCAAGCTTGATCAATTCCCATGTGTAAGCGTTAGCAGGAAACGATTTCATTGGAAAGGCTATCGCGTGATATTTTCTCCTCGTTGCTTCGCTGTTGAGAGAACACTGTAGCCTTCACACATTATAGTTTCTGAATGAGTGGCGTCGGTATTTATCGAGGGTTCTTCTTCGTCATCTTCAAGGCGCAAACTGAGCAACATACGTGCAATAAACACTAGACAAAGAAAATAGTCAAATAATTGCTCTCTGGCAATCGAACATGTAAGCGTTGATTAGAGACGATGCAGATGTATGTACAAATAAAAAATAATAATGATGACTTCTTTCCTTTCAGTACCTTATTCCAACATTTTTATACGTGGAAAAAAATAAAGCGAAAACAAAAATGGCGGAACTAGGCGAGGGGATGGAAAGGAGAAAGAAAATGTCCATCAGGCAGTCGGAAATACAGTTCAAAAAGTTGGACGAACTAAAAGGCGAACTGGAGATGGACGAGCACCAAATACCTCTCCAGGAACTGTTTCAAAGGCTAGAGCTGGCCAATCCAGAAAATGTGAGTCCTATGTATATCTGCTGTCTTAGTCTGTTTGTCCACTCCTGGCTGCCACCTGAAATTTTTATCACATTTGATAATTAAAAAAAAAAAAAAAAAAAAAAAAAAAAACCACAGGACATCCCAGAATACCCGTTTCAACCTTTACACTCCTCTTTGTGTTTGAGTGCCCGTAACTATGAAACAAGCATAAATATATTGCCGCCATAACAAGCATGTCATTAAAGGCGATTAAGTCCTTTTGAGTGCATCTGCCTAAGAAGCGGGGAACCAACATTCTGCATACAAATATGCCACATCTGTATAATGATGTGCCGGTGCAAGACCAAAGTCCTGAAGTGGATGAACAACCAGATCTCTCCGCAAGAGTTGACAGCTGGTGAACGTTAAGGAAAGACTCCGTCTATTTTACCCATCCGGGCTGCTGCTTAATGAAGGGATGAATCGAAAATTGATATCACAGCACTCGGGACAATCCCACACGTGCTCCGCCTCATTCTTCAGTAGCCAACGAAGAG